AACATTTCTGTTAGCTCAGAAGTTCTGTTCTGTCTCCCTGTAGTCAGTCCTGTCCTTCAGTCCCTGCTGATCACTAATGTTTTCTTGCTACTGTAGGTTTGCCTTTTCTAAATATTGCATAGACAGAACCATACAATAGGTAGTCAATAAGTAGTCTTTTGAGTCTGGCTTTTTTTTTTTTTTTTTAACTTACCATAATACTCTTGAGATTCATCCATGTTGTTTGTACCAGCAGTTCATTTCTTCTTACTGTGAGTCTATAGCATTGTATAGATATATTACAATTTGCTTCTCCATTTACCATTTGATGGCAATCTAGACTGTTTCTAATTTGGAGCTCTCATGAATTAAAGTGCTTTAAAAATTCCAGTGCAAGTCTTTGTGTGACAGTAGGTTTTGATTCTTCTTTGGTAAATGAATGGGATGCTATGTTGTGTGTAAGTATATGTTTGACATTATAAAAAACTGCTAAACCGCTTTCCCAAAATGGCTACACTATTTTGCATTCTTTCAACAACAGTTCTGTGTTCTGGTTGCTCCACATCTTTCCCAACATTTGGTATTATCAGTCTCAAATTTTGACTGTTGTAATGAATGCCTGTTGGTATGTCCTTGGGATTTTAATTTACATTTTCCTGTGAATTAACGAAGTTGGGTATCTTTTTTTTTTTTTTTTTTTTTTGCTTATCTGCCTTTTGTATATCTTTTTAAATGAAATGTTTATTCAAATCATTTACCCATTTAAAAAATCACGTTGCTTTGTTATTGCATTGTAGGAGTTTGTTTTGTTTTATTTTTAAATATTCCGGGTAGGAGTTCTTAGCAGATAATTGTTTTATAAATATTTTCCTTCAGTTTTTAGTTTGCCTTTTTGTTTTCCTAACAATGGCTTTTGAGGAGTAAAAGTTTTTAAGGTTGACAAATTTTTTTTTTTTTCATGTTTTAAAAAATGTAGTATTGGCCGGGCGCGGTGGCTCAAGCCTGTAATCCCAGCACTTTGGGAGGCCGAGGCGGGTGGATCACGAGGTCAGGAGATCGAGACTATCCTGGCTAACATGGTGAAACCCCGTCTCTACTAAAAATACAAAAAACTAGCCGGGCGTGGTGGCGGGTGCCTGTAGTCTCAGCTACTTGGGAGGCTGAGGCGGGAGAATGGCGTGAACCCGGGAGGCGGAGCTTGCAGTGAGCCGAGATCACGCCACTGCACTCCAGCCTGGGAGACACAGCGAGACTCCGTCTCAAAAAAAAAAAAAAAAAAATGTAGTATTTAAGAAATCTTTGTGTAACTCAAGGTCCCAAAAAAAAATTTCACTCCATCTTCTTTAGGAGTTTTTTAGTTTTAGGTTGAACATTTAGATATATAATCTATTCTGAGTTCATTTTTATAGGTGGTAAGGTTTGGGGTAAGATTTTAGATCTTGGGGAGTTTTGTTTGTTTACATATTTATATCCAGTTGTTATAGCATCATTTGTTCATAAGACTATTTTTTCCTCATTAAAATATCTTGGCATCTTTGTCAAAATCAGTGGGCCATATCTGTGGAGGTCTGTTTGTGGATTCTCTCTTCTCTGACATTGATTTATGTGTCTGCCTTTTAATATCAGGCAGGTTTGGTTAGTGCAGCTTTTATAGTAAGTCTTGAAATCATGTAGTGATCAATTTGAGGACAATTAACAACTGTATTAAGTCTTCTGATCTGTAAACATGGTATGTCTGTATTTATTTAAGTCTGCTTTAATTTTTTCTCAATACTGTTTTATAAAGGTTTCAGAGTATGAGTCTTACTCATATTTTCTTAAAATTATCCCTAATTATTTTGTATTTATTGAGGCTTTTGTAAATGGTATTGCTTTTACTTTTAATTTCAATTTCTAATTGCTCTTTGCTAGAATAAAGATCTAGCATTGCTTTTTTTAATGTTGCTTTGTCTCTGGCAGCCTTGCTTTTATTAATACATTATTTATTCCAGTATTTTTATAGATTCCTTAGCATTTTCTGCATAGGCAGTCACGCCATTTGTCAATAAACCAAGTTTGACTTCTTCCTTTCCAATGGTATGCGTTTTCTTTCTTTTTCTGCTTTACTGCACTGGCTAGGACCTCCGGAATATTGTTGAATAGAAGTGATGAGAATGGATATCTTTGGTTACTGATCTCAGAATGAAAGCATTTAGTCTTTCACCAATAAATATAATGTTAACCGTAGGTTTTTTATAGATGCCTTTGTCAGTTTGAGTAATTTCCTTTCTCTTCCTAGTGTTCTGAGAGTTTTTTATCATGAATAGGTGTTGAATTTTGCTGATTTTTTTTTTTCCTTTGAGATAGATTCTTGCTTTGTTGCCCAGACTGGTGTTCCGTGGCACAATCACGGCTCACTGCAACCTCTGCCTCATGGGTTCCGGTGATTCTCATGCCTCAGGCTCCCTAGTAGCTGGGATTACAGAGACCCACCACCACACCTGGCTAATTTTTGTATTTTTAGTACAGACGTGGCTTCACCATGTTGGCCAGGCTGATCTTGAACTCCTGACCTGAAGTGATCCGCCTGCCTCGGCCTCCCAAAGTGCTGGGATTACAGGCTTGAGCTACCGCTCCCGGCCCCAGATTCTTTCGATCTAATGATGATCATTAGTTCATGAGTTTTTTGGTCTGTTAATAAACTGATTTTTCAAGTGCTAAACCAACCTTACATTCCTGGGATATTGCTGGATTCCATTAACCTAAAATTTTGTTAAGGTTTTTTGCATCTATATTCCTGAGGAATATTGATCTGCAGTTTTCTTATATCTCTCTGGTTTTGATTTCAGAGTAATGCTAGGCTCATAAAATGAGCTGCATTGTAAATACTTGTGTTTTCTGTAAGAGCTTGTGTAGAGTTGACATTTCTTAAGTGTTTGGTGGCATTCACCACTGAAGTCATGTAGGCCTGAAGTTTTCCTTGTAATAAAGTTTTAAACTATGGATTCAGTTGCTTTAATAGAATAAGGCTATTTAGATTATCTGTGTTTTCTTGAGTGCATTTTGATAGTTTGTATAGTGTCATGGAATGCTACTATTTCATCCAACTTGATGAATTTATTGCAGTAATGTTCATAATATTGCTTTATTTTTTCAGTATCTATAGGATCTGTAATGGTGTCGTTCTGTAATTCCTGATTTCTGTCATTTGTAGCTTTTCTTTTTTGATTAGCCTCGCCAGAGTTGTATTGATATTATTGACCCTTTTAAGGAACCAGCTTTTGGTTTCATTGATTTTATTGTTCTTCTGTTTTCTATTTCATTGATTTCTGTTCTTTATTTTCTTTATCCTGCTTGCTTTGGGTTAATTTACTCCTCTTTTTCTAGTTTCGTAAGGTAGAAGTTTAGATCACTGATTTGAAACCTTGTGTTCTAATATAGGCATGTAGTGTTATAAATATTGCTGTTAGCACTGCTTTAGTTCTATCCACAAATTTTTATATGTGGTGTTTTAGTTTTTATTCAATTCAGAATATTTTCTTATTTTTCTTAATATACTTTGATTCATTGGGTTATTTAGAAGTGTTTATTTATTTATTTTTTTTTTTAATTTTTTTATCTCTGTCTCCCAGGCTGGAGTGCAGTGGCGCGATCTCCACTCACTGCAAGCTCTGCCTCCCGGGTTCATACCATTCTCCTGCCTCAGCCTCCTGAATAGCTGGGACTACAGGCGCCCGCCACCATGCCCAGCTAATTTTTTATATATATTTTTAGTAGAGACTGGATTTCATCATGTTAGCCAGGATGGTCTTGGTATCCTGACCTTGTGATCCGCCTGTCTCGGCCTCCCACCACTCCCAGCCTATTTAGAAGTTTTTAAAATTTTTTTCAAATATTTGAGTTTTTTCCAATCTTTTGTTTTGGATTTCTGATTGTTAATACTGTTGTGATCACAGAGCATACTTTTTATTTTAATTTTCTTATATTTGAGACTTGTTTTGTGCTACAGAATATGTTTGTTTTATTTGAGGTTTGTTTTATGTGATAGAATATGAACATTCCAAGTGCACTTGAGAAGAATGTGTCTTATGCTGTTATTGGATGGAGTGTTCTATATTGTGTTAGGTCAAATTGATTGAGGTTTTTCAGGTTTTCTCTATCTTGCTGATTTTGTTTCTATTTGTTTTATCAGTAAACTAAGAGAGGAGTATTGAAATCTTCAATGGTAATTTTAAAATTTTAAAATGGAATCAAAGTAGAGAATTGTAATGTTAAGATGGTTGGGAGGTGTAAAGGCTATATTTATATTTTTTTTCAATTTGTGGGGAGGGGGTAAGTTTTTGCTTTTTAGAGTAATACAGACTTTTTTTTTTAATACCAGTCCTGCTATTTATTACTTCAGCTACCCCTCTGAGCCTTTTTTTTTTTTTTTTTTTTTTTTGAGATGGCGTCTTGCTCTGTCATCCGGGCTGGAGGACAGTGACGCGATCTTTTTTTTCTGAAACATCTGCCTCCCGGGTTTAAGCAATTCTTGTGCCTCAGCCTCCTGAGTGGCTGGGATTATAGGCATGTACCACCACCATGCGTAGGTAATTTTTGCGTTTTAGTAGACATGGGGTTTCGCCATGTTGGCCAGACTTGTCTTGAACTCCTGGCCTCAAGCAGTCCACCTGAGCCTCCCAAAGTGTTGAGATTACAGGCATGAGCCACACCAAATATGTATTTTAATGTTTAGTCAATTTCATATGTTAACTTTTTTTATTTTACCCTTGGCCTACACTATGGCCTTCATCTTTGTGTATCTTTTCCTCTTACTTTTGTATGCCTAATTTTTATTGACAATGACAACCTCTTTAGAGCCTTGAGTATAGATTGCTGTGGTTATAGTGTAAAAAAATTTTTTTTTCCCTTGACATAAGTTTGCTCACCCTGTATTAAATAAAAAGATAGGAATGTTGGTACAGTCGACATAATTTTGGCACCTATAAAATTATCTCACATTACTTCAATGACTGAAACACAGTGTTTTCCTTTTCTTTCAGATAAACCGAGAAAACTGGTGTACAATAGAGCCATGCCCTGATGCAGCCTCTCTTTTGGCTTCCAAGCAGAGCCCAGGTAAGCTGAGATTGTCCATTCATTTTCTGGAGCTGCAGGCCCACTCTAACAGATCGTTTTATTTGGAGATCTGCCCTTCCTTAGCATATTATACAGTAAATCAGAGGAAGGGATATATGTGATTTGGCTTTGTAGGCATTTTGTCTTACAGTTGAAGATGAGCACATGTAATTACCTGGATTTTATTTTGCTGGTAACGGACATCATAGGTGGCTTTATGATTCATTCATTTGTGAAGGCATCTGTGCTGTGCATATACATATGACATAGGTTTTTTAATCTGGCAAAAGTATAAATCTACTGTTAAGAACCAAACCTGAGGTTCTCAATTTTGACTGCACATTGGAATTATCTGGCTGAGCAAGCTTTAAAAATATACACATGCCTGGGTCTTACCTCCAGATATTCTGATTTAGTTGGGTGGGGTGTGGCCTAGATACCAAAATCTTTATAAGCTCCTTTAGTTACCCTACTGTGTACCCAAGGTTGAGAACATTACACTTTGGATGCATGATCAGGAATTAAGTCTTTCCTTAAGTATCTTTGAGTTATTTCTAACAACACTTGAGGGTACAATGCTCTTAAGACCTTGCTTGTTAATGACATAGCACATGGCTTGTGGTTAGTTAGGATTCCCAACTTTTAATCCAGGTCCAGCCTCTAACTCTGTGTGACGTAAAGTATGTTCCCTAATGTCTGTGTGCTACATTGTCTCCCTCCCATCTGTAAAGTATTAGTAGCTTGTCTCATTTTGAGGGTGTAGTACGGATGACATGATGAGTAATCCCTGTGCCTGTTCCTATGGCTGCTAAGTGAATACTAGTAATTTGCATTCTGAGTTTTTTTAGTCTGTTTTACCCAACAAGCCTCTGTTTGCCTTCCCAATTTTTACTGCCCAGCTTTAAAAATTACCTAGTCTTCATTTGCAGGTCTTTTTAGAAATAGTTTACGTGTAGATACCCTCCAGTAGTGTTAAATTTAAAAACAAATTGTTTTGAATCCTCTAACTCCAGAGCAGTTTCCTACTGATTCTCAACTCTCTGACTTTACTACAAAGGAAATAATTGAAAACAAATATGGAAAGTGTTTTTCTCTATTTTTGTCTCATTTTTTGAGAGTAGTTAAGGATATTATGCTACAGTCGTGTTCAGGGTCCAAGTTTTACAAGATTGGCCCCGTTGACAGATTTAGCTGACACTTCCCCCATGTAGCCTCCTAGAACCTTCTACTTAAACGTCTACCACTTACTACTGTGTTTTGGTTCCTTAAACTGTTTGGGGCTTTTTCTAAAAGTGTAATTACAACCACCCAAGAGTGGAACTTTCTGCCAAGTAAAGGTTAAATGAGGTTGCTCACGGTTTGAATATTCATAGGAAGGAAAGATCCCCACACATCATAGTTTAATTTCTATATTTAGAGAAATGATTTTTGAACCCCTGGACATTTTCCCCAGGACACAATTTTGAATTCTGTAGACCTACTGTACACGCTAACCCCGAGCATAAGCAATTTAGTCTTTTTAAAGTAATTATTTTAAAATCTCAATTTAACAAAGTTGCAGATCAGAATTATGCCACTCAGCTTCAGACCTGAGATTTTGATTTTAGGCATCGTGTTTTTGTGAATCCTAGGTACTTTGTTTTGCAGGTTTCTCTATTTTACTTCATAAACACTTCCTCAAGAGAGCAATAGCATTAGACCAAATAAGATACTGTCTTTTGGCCGGGCGAGGTGGCTCATGCCTGTAATCCCAACACTTGGGGAGGCTGAGGCAGGCAGATCACAAGATCAGGAGTTCGAGACCAGCCTGGCCAATATGGTGAAACCCCTGTCTCTACTAAAAATACAAAAATTAGCCGGGTGTGGCGGCACACGCCTATAGCCCCAGCTACTCAGGAGCCTGAGGCAGAAGAGTCACTTGAACCCAGGAGGCGGAGGTTGCAGTGAGCCAAGATCCAGCCTGAGCGACAGAGCAAGACTCCGTCTCAAATAAATAAATAAATAAATAAATAACAAGTTTTTTTGTTTTTTTTTTTTTTTTGAGACAGAGTCTCTCACTGTTCCCCAGGCTGGAGTGCAGTGTTTTTTTTTTTTTTTTCTGCAAGCTCCGCCTCCCGGGTTCACACCATTCTCTTGCCTTAGCCTCCCAAGTAGCTGGGACTATAAGTGCCCACCACCACACCCAGCTAATTTTTTTGTATTTTTAGTAGAGACGAGGTTTCACTGTGTTAGCCAGGATGGTCTCAATCTCCTGACCTCGTGATCCCTCCGCCTCGTCCGCCCAAAGTTCTGGGATTATAGGCATGAGCCACCGCGCCTAGCTAAGATACTACCGTCTTTTAAAATCACTTTGTATACTCTTTAGTAATGGACAAATTACAAGATAGAATTATGATTAGTATGACATAACAGAGCCCACAGGATGTCAGCAGTGTGTTTTCCTGCCCTTCCCCAATAACAGTTTGTTGGCATTTATGTCGTTTTAAACCCAAATGACTAGATAACACCTTTTAAAAAGTTTGTATTCTAAAAAGCTAATAGCTCAGTACACAAAAATTATAGACAAATTTACATATGGGTCATAAAATGGGACTGGCCCTGCCTGTGCCCATCTTTAAGGTACTGTCATCTGGATACTTACTGAATCATACATTAAATGTTAATGAAGCCTTAACTTCATTAGACACATACATCACACACCTGCTATGTGGTGGAAACCAGAGTTCTGGTTACTCTATGTATAAATTATTCCTGTCACTGTGACTCCTTTAGGGAAGTACGATCATCTCTTGTCACTGTTATGGAAATGGCAACTGAGAGGGGTGAAATTACTTCTTGCCTGGAATTTTTCTTCTGTTAAGTAGTCAGACCTAGATTTAAGCCTGATGAGTCTAACTCGAAAAGCAGAGATCTTTACTCTTGTTTACACTTAGATATGCTGCTCCCCTTTATTCAGTAGGAAGGGAACATATAGAAGGAAAGAAAAGACTTTATTAATTTTGAAAACTTAGCAATACATGTGACACAGGGTGTGGATTAGCTCTGCCTTTAGGGATTCCCCCCCTCCTCCCCCCGCCCCATGACACGGGGGGGTTATAATGGTTTATGGTCCCTCCCCCCCCATCTTGGTCCTTCTTTCTGTACTTTTCTCTCTTCCCCTCCTCAACAATCAGCTTTATCTCACAGAGCAGACTCTCATCCCAAACTTGGTTTGTTACCCCTTGTAGTGCTGGCTTGAATTTATTTTCTGGGTGAGGTATTCCTACCAGGGCTGAATCTGGATCTTCCCTGTGAATTTTCCGTTCGAATATCATGAGCTAGTTTGTTTTCCAGTCTGGAATTTGGACGTGGTCTGTTAGAGGGCCAGCTGGACAGCGAGCAGCTCAGTGTAGTTGCTGTGACAGCCCTTTCTTTTCTTGGCCAGCCCCCCTATTTTCCCTCAATCACGGAAAGGCGTTTTTTTTATTTTTTCAGGCAGGGAAAGGAGAAGGAGTAGATCACACCCACTAGCTCTTTTTTTTTTACTACATTCTCTAGGAAATGTGAAAAAAATTCTCCAGAATACCCATAGTTTCCAGTCGGCTAAAGGCAGGGCTGTTCCCAAAAAAATAACACTCTCCGAAGTAGTTTGAACCAAGACTGAAGCAGACTAAGGTGATTTTTTTTAACTGAAAGATTTTCAGACTCATCCATGAGCCCTATCTCACTTCCTATGGCATTTTTTTGTATAATTCTTCGTTGAAATTGTCTTCTAATATGTTTATTTCTGCCACAAGACAGTAAACTGCCTCCCCCCCAACATTAAACATTTTTTATTTGGATACTCCCCAGTATTTAGCCAGATGCTTAACTAGTAGAAAAAAATCATTTGATTGACAAGCGATTTATGACCTGTAGCAATGCAGTGCATCCTTGACCCTTGCTCTAAGCTACCAGGGCAGATAATTCAGTGATTATCACTAATTAATTGTTCATTAGAACAGCTATTTCTTCCCAGTTTCAACACACAGAGACAACATAATTATCTAAGCATAGAATCTAATAATCGTAGGAGACACTGGAAGTTATCTAGTCCAGCCCTCACTTCCCTCTCTGTGCAGATACCTTTTCTGTAATATCTTGACATAGTCATTCTCTGTTCCAGAACCCTTCTGGTAAAGTGATAGTCACTACTTTATGGGGCACCCAACCTATTGCCAAGAAGCCCCGTTTTAGTGAAGCTCTGTAGCTCACACTCACTGGTCTTTGTTCTGCCCCTGGAACAGCACAGAGGGAATCTGTGACCGTCTTTAGGCACATTTTCTTCAAGCTCCTCAGTAAGCTGAATGTATCTCAAATGTTTTGACTGTCATGACCCCGTTACTACATACACATTTTTGTTTATCAGTGTTCTACTTTAGATGTTATTTAGGAACAAGTACAATCCCGAAGGTGTGGTCTGGATGGCACATAGTGACAGGACTGTTCCCGTTTTGGATGCCAGTGTACTATTTACTAATAGAGACTAAAACTGTTAGTGTTTCTTTGGTTTTGTCATCACCTTGTACTGTCAGTTCCTCTTGAATTTGCTTCCCCCAAAACCTCCAAGTAGAGTTCTCTTTAACTCCTAGATAGCCAGGTTTCCTGCCCTGTCCCTCATCACTTAGTGTCACCTACAGATTTATTAAAGCATGCCTACCTGGTTGTCCAAATAACACATTAACTTGCTTACAAAAACAGAGATGCATGACTTTTATCTTTTTTTTTTTTTTCCTGAAATGAAGTCGCTCTCTATCACCTAGGCTGGAGTGCAGTGGCGTGATCTTGGCTCACTGCAGCCTCCGCCTCCCAGCTTCAAGCAATTCTCCTGCCTCAGCCTCCCAAGTAGCTGGGATTGTAGGCACCTGCCACCAAGCCTGGCTAATTTTTTGTGTTTTTAGTAGAGATGGGGTTTCACCATGTTGGCCAGGCTGTTCTCAAACTCCTGGCCTCAGGTGCTCCTCCTGCCTCAGCCTCCCAAAGCGCTGGGATTACAGGCTTGAGCCACCATGCCTGGCCATGACTTTTATCTTTAAAACTTCTTAGGGCCAGGCCCAGTGACTCATGCCTGTAATCCCAGCACTTTGGGAGGCTGAGGCAGGTGGATCACAAAGTCAGGAGATGGAGACCATCCTGGCTAACACGGTGAAACCTCATTTCTACTAAATATACAAAAAGAAAAATTAGCCAGGCATGGTGGCACATGCCTGTAGTCCCAGCTACTCAAGAGGCTGAAGCAGGAGAATCGCTTGAACCCGGGAGGCGGAGGTTGCAAAAACTTCTTGAAGGAAGCTCATATCCACTCAGTAATGAACTTGGGTTCTTGGTTTCACCATCTACAAATCCCTTTAACCGTATAGTACCCAGTCACATGTCACTTTTGTTTACAAAGTTAATAGCCTGGGCAACATGCCAAAACCCATCTTTACAAAAAATAAACTGGGCTTGGTGGCATGTGCCTGCAGTCCCAGCTACTTGGGAGGGTAAGGTGTGAGGATTGCTTGAGCCCAGGAGGTGGAGGTTGAAGTGAGCTGAGATCATGCCACTGCACTACAGGCTGGGCAACAGAATGAAAACCTATCTCAAAATAAACAACACAAAACAAAAAAGCAAAGTTAATAAGAAAGAGTATCTTGCTTATTTCAAGCTACTAAGTTTTTAGGCTCCCTCCATGTACCAAGGTAGTATTTCTGTCACAGACCCCTCCCTCTGGCTTGCCAGGGTCCCTGTTCTAGTTATTGAACTGAAAACAGATTCTAAATGATATATTTTTCCACTTTGGCACATTATGCCCCCAATTTAAGAGCTATTTATGGTAAGAAAAGTTAAATTATATTTCTGTTATTACTCAGCAGAACCTATAAGTTTAAAACAAACTGCATCACATAGTTGCTAGTAAAAGACTGTGGATTTTGAAGACAAAAGAAAAAAAATTCCCTAACTACTACGAGGAAAACATTACCGTTCAGGTATCTAAATAGAAATAGAATATGCTTCTAAATCATCCTTTTATCTTTCTGTACCTAATATAAACATGGTAGACGCATGATTGTCCTGTAGGAGCTATATCAGCCTAAAATTGGAGTAGCAGAACTACTAATTAGACTGTGTCCTTTATAGCTTCTTGATATCGAAAAAAAGAAACAAGGAGGGAAGGAAAAGAAAAGAGTGAGAGAGAGATTTAAAAGACTGGTTGCTGGGGTGAAAAGGAAGTGTTTCTTTTGGTTTTTGTTTTATTTTCAATATTGGTGAATAAATTCTCTTTTTCAGAGTGTGAGAACTTCCTGGATGTTGGACTGGGCAGAGAGTGTACCTCAAAACAAGGTGTACTTAAAAGAGAATCTGGGAGTGATTCTGACCTCTTTCACTCACCCAGTGATGATATGGACAGCATCATCTTCCCAAAGGTATTGTGTAAACCTTCCTTTCATTTTTGTCCCATGGCTTTCGTGTTCCTATTTGGGCTTCCCAAACTCTTTTCCACTTTTTTCCCCTCTTGTGCTCATTGTCTTCCCAAGACATGTTTTTTCCCTAAATATGTAACTCCTGCTAGTAAGTTGTGATCCAGCTAGCCTTGTAGGGCCTCACTCACTCTGAGAGGTGTGTAAATGTTCTCTTGGAGAAGGAAACGCCAGATTACCAGGGTTTAGAAAAAGGCATTGGGCTGGGCATGGTGGCTCATGCCTGTAATCCCAACACTTTGGGAGGCTGAGATGGGTGGACCCCTTGAGGTCAGGAGTTCGAGACCAGCCTGGCCAACATGGTGAAACCCCGTCTCTACTAAAAATATAAAAATTAGTTGGAGGTGCTTACTTGAACCCAGGAGGCAGAGGTTGCAGTAAGTCAAGTTTGCGCCACTGAACTCCAACCTGGGCGGCAGAACGAGACTCTGTCTCCAAAAACAAAAAAAAAAAGGGAAAGAAAAAAGCATTGGCCAAAGTGATTTAATGTGAAATTGTGGCTAGTTAAATGCAGATTTTGAAGCTCATATAGGAGTCAAAAGAAATGGAAGTTCCTTTAGAATTAAGTCAGATGACAGTAAACACTTCTCAGTGGGCAGCAAGGACCACAGCTCAGACTATATGATGTCATATGTATAAACCAGCTGTAGAGTCATTTCTGGTTAATGTGTTTAGGCCTGAAGCTTCCTGTTGAGTGTGGTCATATCACTTATCCTCATCTAGCCTGCTTAATTGGAACTTTCTAGATCTCTGCGATGGAGCCCTTCCACATGAATCAGCTCACGTTTGCATATAATTTGAGACTGTCTAAGGGAGGTGGGGAATGGGGGCAGTTTGCTTTCTTTTGCTTATGTTTGTTTCTAGTTGCAGCAAGTTCTGTTTTGTTCCTCTGCGAAGAATAGAGGGCTTTCCCACAACAGAGATGGCAAATGCTACTCAATTATATGCCACAAGTGGTTTTCTTAATGGTAAGGAGGTGAAGAGGCAGAAACACTGTTGCATCTACCAAGGCGGTTCCTTCTAGTTTTATAATGAGCTCGGAGAAGTGGTGAGGGCAATTGTGTTAGTGGGTGATTAAGTTGTCCAAGATGGTCAATGATGCTGTGTAGAAGTTACAAGAATAGGCCAGGTGTGGTGGCTCATGCATGTAATCCCAGCACTGTGGGAGGCCACGGTGGATCACTTGAGGTCAGGAGTTCAAGACCAGTCTGGAAATGGTGAAAACGTGTCTCTACTAAACATATAAAAAAAATTAGCTGGGCATGGTGGCGTGTGCCTGTAATCTCAGCTACTTGGGAGGCTGAGGCAGGAGGATTGCTTGAACCCAGGAGGTGGAGGCTGAAGCGAGCCGAGATTGCACCACTGCACTTCAACCTGGGCAACAGGAGTGAAACTCTGTCTCAAAAATAAAAATAAAATAAAATAAAATAAAAAAAGAGAAGTTACAAGAATAGAGACCTAAAGATTTGGGAATCAGGAGCATATCAATGCCTCTGTGAATGTACCCTGTGTACCTTCCTTTCATTTTTGGCCTTCCCTAAGGCCAAAATGAGCCACCACACCTGGCCTATTCTTGTAACTTCTACACAGCATTTTTATCTTGAGTACATTGTCTTCCCAAGTTCCTTGGAAAGACTTGTTTAATATGATGCAGCCTTAAAGATTTCTATCACTGTTACTCATAGTGACTTGACAAAAAATTCTATGAAGTAAAACCTCCACATTTAGAAGATCTGCCTTTCTCTTTTTACTTAGGAAAAGAGAAATCAATAGTTTTATTTTATTTTGTATTTTATTTTATTTTATTTTATAATATCAGAGTTTAGGTAATTTCCACTGTGACTTTGAGGTTTTAATTGTAAGGAATTCTATTCCCCACAAGGGAATACCATTCTGAAGATATGTGTCGCTAAAAACATACTGAGATAAACAGATTAGATAGTATCTCTAAGTTCCAGCTTTAAAATGGGATCATTGATAATCACTGAAACTAGGTCATGGATATACAGATATTTGTTAAACATTTATATATGTTTGAAAATTTTAATGTAAAAAGTTTTTTTAAAAAATTGAAGTGTCTTAATTAAGAAATACTTGCTTGCAACCTCCTAGGTGCATGACAGCTTGTACCTGAATATTACCATCTCTGCAGACTCAGAGTTACTTCTGGTCACTTAACTGAATGGTTTTCCTAGCTAAGGATAATTAGAATTTTCTATATTTCTCCTTCTTAGTTTCCCAGAACCATTCATGAAATTGCTCATATAAATGACCTGTGCTAGATTTTGGAGTTTTTTTTTCCCCCCCCCCCAAGAATACTAGACAGACATAATTTTTTAAAGTTAAAGGAGGCCAGGCATGGTGGATCTTAGCATTTGGGGAGGCTAAGGCAGGAGGATCACTTGAGTCAAGGAGTTTGAGATCAGCCTGAGCCAACATAATGGGACTTGTCTCTACAAAAAATACAAAAATTAGCCGGACATGGTGGTGCACACCTGTGGTCCCAGCTATTCGGGAGGCTGAGGTGGGAGGATCACTTAAGTCCAGGAGGTTAAGGCTGCAGTGAGCCGTGATGGCGCCACTGCATTCCAGACTGGGCGACAGAGCAAGACCCTCTCAAAAATAAATAAGTAAATAACACCTACATTTTATACCAGACTGCTTAGGGAAAACCAGAAATGGCAGGTTCACTTTCACCTCTTCATGTGTGCTCGAGAATGTCTAAATGGCCTGAGAAGAGATGGGGAGGATTTTTCTCTTAGTGTTTTTGCTCTACCAAAGTAGCCTGTGACCAGGGGAGGTTTTGCAATAAACGTTTGCTCTAGCATTAATGAAACCAAGGGCTAACTTACAAAAAGGAGAGAGAGAAACTAATATTGACAGGATACTTACTGTACAGTAGGTACTGAACTAAATTTTTAAAATATTTGATCTCAGTTTGTTGCCCATCAACCCTGACGAGTAGGTGGTTTTATGCTCTTAAGGAAATAGAGGCACTGATGGGTAAAGAAATGTATCCAAAATTATTTAGTAGGTGAGCAGCCAGCTTGAGGTTTGCATCTAGGCCTGACTCTAAAATCCATTCATTTTTTGTTTTATTCTCAACCTCTCCAAACCTGCCCTAATAGCCAGCGATTAAATAAAAGTGTGGCACTGGCAGATAGGCCATCAGCTGCTTCCTTAAAAGTCATCCTCAGGGGTAATCCACAGAGGGTGCTGTGCAAAATATCAAAATGTATTGCAGTTTGTTCCCAGGTTCTAACCCTCTTCTCCTTCTCTAAAAAATAATCTGTAGGCAAGAGATTGCAACATCTTTTTCTGTGAACCATGAGTGGTACATGACGTCACTTCCTTCAGCCATTTGTGTGACTCTGGCCTCACAGAGGTCTTTAACAGCCCGTAATGTTTGCTGTGACCTTTTCACCTTAACCCTGTCTTTCCATTCAGTGTACCTCCTGGTAAATGACTCTTTAGTGAGTGTTATGAGCTTCATGTTTATTCTCATGAATATGTGTGAGTTCCTAAGATCTTTAATCAACAGCATAAAATTTAGATTTTGTTTCTAAAGTGAAAAGAAATCCTAGGATTCTTTTTGGCACTAGCTAAGAGAGAAAGTACGATTATAAAATATAATGATCTAGGCCACTCTACTATCCAAAAGGGTAATTAAAGTCTACAGGAAATACTAATAGTTGCTGCCTCTCTTCCCAAAGAGAGGTAAATCAAAGCCCTTCCATGTATTTTTTTTCCCCAGGTTAGTTAGAAGATGTATCTACAATTGATTTAAAAAAAATCAAAATGACTTATGTAAGATACAAAACCTAAAGGGAACATCCTTCTTTCATGTGTTGTAGTTTTTCTCAGGTCCTTGATCCCCAAGCCAAAAAAATTACTTTAAAAAAACCCAAAAAACCTTTTTGAGATAAAAGTAGTCCAAATAAAAAAAAGGCACAAAAAAAAACACTTGTAATCCCAACACTTTGGGAGGCTGAAGTGAAAGGACTGCTTGAGTCCAGGAGATTGAGACCAGCCTGGGCAACATAGTGAGAACCTGTCTCTGCTAAAAAATTTAAAAATTAGCCAGGCATGGTGGCACACGTCTGTAGTCCCAGCTACTTGGGAGGCAGAGGCGAGAGGATCACTTAGACCTTAAAGTTCAATGCTGCAATGAGCTATGATTGTGCAACTGCACTCCAGCCTGGGCAACAGAGGGAGACGCTGTCTTAAAAATAAATAAAAGTAAATGTATTTACAGAATCCTAATTAAGAAAACTACAATTGCAGCTGGGCGTGGTGGCTTATGCCTGTAATCCCAGCACTTTGAGAGGCCGAGGCAGGCGGATCACTGGCGGTCAGGAGTTCGAGACCAGCCTGGCCAACATGGCGAAACCCCATCTCTACCAAAAATACAAAAATTAGCTGGGCGTGGTGGCAGGCACCTGTAATCCCAGCTACTCGGGAGGCTAAGGCAGAAGAATTGCTTGAACCTGGGAGGTAGAGGTTGCAGAGGTAGAGCTGAGATCGTGCCACTGTACTCCAGCCTGGGCAACAGAGTGATACTCCCATCTCAAAAAAAAAAAAGAAAGAAAACTACAATTGCCTAATGCACAAGTGCTGAAATTATTACAAATTTAAAACTGTGAGCCAGTGGTAATGCTTGTAATCAGGTACTTTTCTTAAAATATTGAACATAAATGGATTAAATGGTTGGCATGTGTTAGGTGTTCAAAATGTGAGCTGTTCTTTTCCAAGGTCCATGTAGAGTGCCTTGTGTATTATTATAAATAATAATAATAAATATTTGGGAATAAATGGAGATTAAAGGACTATTATATTGGCAATATTAAGCATGATTTCTTCAAGTATAGTAATAAGATATAAAGTATGCAGCAGTTTTTGTAGTTCTGTGTATATAATGTTTATACCTCTGTATGCACTTATGTGTCCATACCTGTATAATGTAACTCTGGCTGAGAAAGCCAGTCAGGCATTTTCCCCAACATTTTATTAAGAAAATATTGAAGCATATAGAACATTTGGAGAATTGTACAGTGAACACCCATATACCCACTACTTAGATCCTACAATTAACTTTTAATTGTATTTGCTCTGTTATGTAACTATATATTTGTCCATCCTTCTGTCCACCCAGTTTACCTAAATTCTAAGTGTTCAGATATCAATATACTTCACCTCTGAACACTTAGAATTCAATATTTGTTTATAGGCTGATTGGGTTTTTTGGTAAAATTTACATACAGTGAAATGTACAATCTTGAGGGTACCAGTCAGTGACTTTTAAAAAAAAATTTAATGACCGCTTCACGAATGTGTGCATCATCCTTGCACAGAGGCCATGCTAATCTTCTGTGCATCGTCCCAATTTAGTATATGTGCTATCAAAGTGAGCACCCATCGGTGACTTTTGATAGAAGCCTTCATTCACCTTTGTACCCAGCCTGCAGCAGGATACAGACTATAAGCATTGCTTTGGAGTTGCCTCATAGTCTTTTCTCAGTCAGTCTCCATTCACACCCTCTCAAGGCAACAGCTGTCTTGTTTTCCCACCACAGATTAGTTTTCTCTGTTTCAGAACTTCGTGTAAATGGAATCTAAATAATATCATTTCTCTTGAGTAAATACCTAGGATTCGAATTGTTAGATTATATGGTAGGTATAGGTTTAATTTGCTATGAAACAGATCTTTTCCCAAGTGGTTGTACCATTTTACATTTTCACCAGTGATGTTTTGTTTTCCTTTTTCAAGTAATAACCACCAATTCATAGTAAGAGCTGCATAGTGCAGTAAAAATACTGAGTATAAGAATATTATTCTGTGTGAACTTTATTCTTACCAGATGCACGAGACTGTAGAAATCATGTAGTTTCAGTGAGATCAGAGTTAAAAGCACGTATTAGGAAGAAAGGCTTTGTGTTGAGAATATATTCTAGACAGAGCTCTTTGTTTTTAAAATATGTATAAATAGGCCACCAAAGATTTTCCCACCTTATTTTAATGAGTCTCAAAAGGGTAGATGGTTGCTTTATAAACTTCAGATTGGTAAAGTGCCAGAGAGATAACAGACCTTTTTTTTCTTTTTTTAGACGGAGTCTCGCTCTGTCACCCAGGCTGGAGTGCAGTGGCCGGATCTCAGCTCACTGCAAGCTCCGCCTCCCGGGTTCATGCCATTCTCCTGCCTCAGCCTCCGGAGTAGCTGGGACTACAGGCGCCCGCCACCTCGTCCAGCTAGTTTTTTGTATTTTTTTTTTTTAGTAGAGATGGGGTTTCACCGTGTTAGCCAGAATGGTCTCGATCTCCTGACCTTGTGATCTGCCCGTCTCGGCCTCCCGAAGTGCTGGGATTACAAGCTTGAGCCACCGCGCCCGGCCAGCAGACCTTTTTTTTCAAGGCAAAATCCTTCCAAGATTAGATGCCAGTGAAGAAGCACCTATACAACTGTCTGTGAGTTATTTCCAAACTGAGAAGAGCTAACTTGTAAGAAGGCTATATGACAAATTAATAAATGGAAACTTTAACTCAAAATTTTTGTTTGCTTTGAAGCCTTTCTTGTGTGTTTTAGAGCAGGCTTTTTACACATTTTGCTTTATTGATGTTCATTCTGTTTGTCCCTTGATATTATTTTGAGAATTAGACATTTAGGCAGCTAAGGGTGAGTATATTAGCTTCCTAGGGCTGCTGTAACAAATTACTGGAAGCGGGGTGGCTGTAAACAACAGGAATGTACTTGGTCCCAGTTCTGAAGGCTGGGGATCCTAATCACTGTGTCAGTGGGGCTGCTTTCCTTCTGTAGGCTCTGAGAGAAAATGGCCTCTCTCCTAGTCTCTGGTGCTTGTTCACAGTCCTTGGTGTTCCTTGGGTTGTAGATGCTGCACTCTAATCTCTTCCTCTGTCTTCACGTGGTATTCTCTCCTGTGTGTCTTTTTGTGTCTCTTCTCCTCTTGCAAGGACACCATTCATGTTGGATCTGGGGACATTTTGGATCCACCCTACTCCAGTATAACCTCATCTTAACTAATTATATCTGCAAAGACCCTCTTTCCAAATAAGGTCACATTCTGAGAAGGACATGTATCTGAGGAGGACACTATTCAACCCAGTACAGTGAGAAAGCCGAGACATTCACGAGACCATTTACATTGTCCTTGTCCATGGAGAGTTGCTCCGTGAATAGGACCCCTTTAGGAAGCCCCCGAGTCCCTCACTCACTTTAAAAGCATACTCAGTTGTTTCATTTTAAAATAATACCTACCACAATTTAGAATTTACTTGGTGAACCATAGTTTTATTTTACAGAGTGACCCAGTGAAGGGACTTCTCTGATACTGACTTTGATGTCTTGTTCTTACAGGATTTTAAAAAGATGATTGAGATACCAGAATAGGGCAGTTTGAGTTAAAATCAGCCTGGGTTCAAATCTTGACTCTGCTGCTCATGCCTGAGTCCATTGGAAAATCTGGGCCTCAGTTTGACCTGTCTGGTGATCCCCATGCATCTTCTCTCTCATTCACATCTCATACATTACTTAAAAAACAATCTAGGAAACTGGATTCCACAGAACTGGAAAAAGAAAGCCTTCTTATTAGCTTGTGAGATCAAGCCCAAAAGGTAGAAAGGGTGCTTTTAGAAGGTGGTGTGCTTTTGAACTATTACGTCAAACCTTTAAAAAGAGTCTCCTTATAGTGTAGAGCTTGTTTTCTATTCCAAGGCCGAAAGATTTTCATAATTTTTTTCTCTTTCTTGAAGAACCGTACATTTTTTTACCCTTAATTAAAACATTGAGTAGATTAATTAGGAAAATATTGTGAAAAAGGGAAAAAGAATTACAAAATGCCCTTCCCTGTTCCCTGCCCCCATCCCATAAGAGTGCAAAATAGCTATTAAGACAGTGCCCACATCTTAAGTATGATCAAGCATCTCTTAGACACTTCTTTTGGTCTTTTGGGTACCATGAAGCTCATCTTTCCCTCACCCATCAAATTCTGTGTTCTGGTATCTCCCTCCCTTGCTCCCTTTCGGGTTCAAAAGATTTTCCTGTCTCAGTCTGCCCAGTAGCTGGGATTACAGGCGTGAGCCACCCCGCCTGGCCACTGGCATGTTTCGACAAGTAGAAAATGTCAGGCTACTAGAACAAAGTTACACAGAACCTGTTAGGCAGAGGTTAGCCAGGAAAGAGCGTCATCACTTTATCAAAGACCTCATTGCCAGGACTGATTATTTAATGTATGATTTGGCCTCATAACACTCAGCCAGTTCTCAGTGAAATGAGAAAAATGTATAGCTTTCATCCATTTAGATATTTGTAAAAGCACTTATGCATTTGTGGCAAACTTTAGGTGGGGTCATAAGCTATTCCACATTTTTCAGAAGGCCACTAAAAACAACCACAGACTTGCTTTTGGAATGTTAATTTCAGCACATTATTATTGTAGCCAAGCAGACTGCTTTGTTTTCAGTTAAAGCTTGTAAAAAAAAAAATTAAATCTAACACATTACGAATTTAGTTTTCATATACAAAAAAACCCAGAGACAAATGGATTCCCTTCATTGCAGTTGGTGATATTGACTGAAAGAACTAACATAAATTTGATCTTTTTCCTCTTAAAGAAAGAAAAAAAATGGGATGGTCACAGTGGCTCAAACCTTTATCCCAGCACTTTGGGAAGCCAAGGCAAGAGGATTGCTTGATCCCAGGAGTTCAAGACCATCCTGGGCAACATGGTGAAACCCTGTGTCTAAAAGAAATATACACAAAAAATTAGCTGAACATGCTGGCACTTGCTTCTAGTTCCAGCTACTCAGGAGGCTGAGGTGGGAGGATCGCTTGCGTCCAGGAGGTCAAGGCTGCAGTAAGCCATGATTTCACCATTAGCCTGAGTGACACAGTGAGACCCTGTCTCAAATTGGAAAAAAAAAGAAAAGAAAGAAAAAATGATGTACTTCTAGTCTAGTACCTCTAGTAAAAGATATAAAGAGAATAGACCTAGGCCAGGTGGGATGGCTCACACCTGTAATCCCAGAGGGAGGCTGAGGTGGGTGGATAACTTGAAGTCAGGAGTTAGAGACCAGCATGGTGAAACCCTGTCTCTACTAAAACTACAAAAATTACCCAGGTGTGGTGGTGCATGCCTGTAATTCCAGCTACTTGGGAGGCTGAAGCAGGATAATCTCTTGAATCCGGGAGGCAGAGGTTGTGGTGAGCTGAGATGGAGCCACTGTACTCCAGCCTGGGCAACAGAGTGAGACTCTGTCTCAAAAACAAACAGAAAGAGGATAGATCTAGACTGTTTCTTTTCTAGAGTCCGGGGAGATTTGAATCCAACTGTGATCATCCTATTAAAAAAACAAGTCTCTGAGGCCAATCATGATCTTGCCTGCCTGGAACCCACTGAGAAGCCATTAGCTTGATCTAGAGTAACTGAGGCTATCTGATTGGCCCTGCTGGCTTCAACCATACGTGCTTTCTCTCCATTACAGCCGGAGGAAGAGCAGTTGACCTGTGATATCACCGGATCCAGTTCATCCACCGATGACACGGCTTCACTGGACCAACATTCTTCTCATGGCAGTGATGTGTCTCTCTCCCAGATTTTAAAGCCAAACAGGTCAAGAGATCGGCAAAGCCTTGATGGATTCTACAGCCATGGGATGGGAGCTGAGGGTCGAGAAAGTGAGAGTGAGCCTGCTGACCCAGGCGACGTGGAGGAGGAGGAGATGGACAGTATCACTGAAGTGCCTGCAAACTGCTCTGTCCTGAGGAGCTCCATGCGCTCTCTTTCCCCCTTCCGGAGGCACAGCTGGGGGCCTGGGAAAAATGCAGCCAGCGATGCAGAAATGAACCACCGGAGGTGAGATGGGAGGCAGTTTGTTTAGTGTCTCAGTGTGTGCTTGCTTTTGAGAAGCTTCTGATTTGTGTTATTGTTGGTAAAAGAATTTAGGAGACCCCATAGTATAGAAGAAAGAATATAGGCTTTGGAATCAGGAAAATCTGTGTTCAGACCCCAGCTCCATAATTTACCATGTAAATGACCTTGGGCAAGTCACCTGACCCCTCTAAGCTTTAATTTTCTCATCTGTAAAATACCTTCATTATTATTTTTAATAATACAGTGAAATGTGATTGTCATATAGTGAGTGTTTAGTAAATGGGAACGTTTATTCTTACCACATTAATGAAACTTATGAATGATAAAATATTGGAGGCAGTAGTTTCATGTCAGCTTTGAATTAAGAAACAAACATGAAGTCTTACAGTCAGTCTAGTACTGAACTGAGACTAGAACTCTACTTATTTTCATCCTGCATAATGTCATGGGATCTCCTGTTTGAATTTATTGCTGAGGCTTATCTAGGACCATTGTCCTAATACCTCTGAAGATAATGGAATGAGAGTGAGATTTTAATCAGTTTGACTAATTCTTATAGTGTTACCTGCATGTAGTATAACCTGAATTTTAAAGTGTTAAGAAAACCCCCTTTAAAACTTTGAGTAGTAATTTTTTTCTGATTCTTTAATAATTTAATAAACTTCATAACTTTTGCCATCTGATTAACTCCTTGGAGCAAGGGGAGGAGCAAAGTAGCCCTCCACAGAAATTGTCAGTCCCTTTTTGTCCTGATGTTTTTCTCATTCCACATTCCTTCATTCTCTTCCCTGTGCCATTTCTCTTTGAGCAGTGTCTCTCTCCCCAGTGTGGTGTCTGTATGTTTCATGCATTTGTATCCCATTTTGTTTCATCTGCAACACTGACCTCTTCACCATTCATTTTCAGTTCAATGCGAGCTCTTGGGGATGTTGTCAGGAGACCTCCCATTCATAGGAGAAGGTACAGAGTTCGTTAACTTGATGGACTAACCATGTCACCTCTGAGCGTATACTAACAAGCATCTCATTCTGCTTAATCCATGATAGGACCATCTACTTTTAAGTAATGTCCCATCTAATTCAGGCAAATAAAATATAGGTACTTATTAATTGCCAATGTCCATTTTATATGAAATGGTTTCTTTAATTGCAGTTTTATCCTATTTTATCTTTTTTAAAAATTATTTTTAATTTTTTCAATCTTGTGCTTATTGGTGTTCAGATGACTGTGATAATAGGGTCTCACCCAGCTTTCTCTAGAAGAGTTCGAAGAATTGGCTATGTCGTACCTATTTAATGGACCCTGGGGAGTACTATTTTTTTCTTCTCCACAAAAGAAAGACCAGGAATGTGTGTGTGCTTGTATATAGGCCCTGAAATATTGTCAACACATTCTTTAATAATGTAATGAAAGACTTTATTACTAGGCCACCTGGCATTTTCCATTCCATTGTGGATGTAGTCATTTCTTAAAGCAAATCAGAGGTATAAGTTCATCTCTTGGCCTTTGAATTCCTTAATTAGTATTTGTCAGGTAATATTTTGAAGCTAAAAATAAATGATTTTTAAGCTGAGAAGTAATTTCTAGTCAGATTGCTAATTCGCTTCAAATTTTGCATTGGATTTTCTTTAGAAGTCATTAGTGACCTTTTCTTCCATTGTTTAGAAAAACGTTTAGAAGTCCAAAAATTAGGGTTATATTACTGCCAGTTTCTCATATTAGGAGACGTTTGTAAAGAAGTATTTTTAACTATTAGCTGAACCTGTTTTTTGGGAAGTAGGCGAACAGTGATCTTTCCGACTTTGTCTTTTCCAAGTGGATGCTTTGTTTAATTCCAGATTTTAGGCAAGAAATTGAGCTTAAATTCAAATGTTCTCATGAATTTCAGATAATCATGATTCCTATGAAATTGTTCTTCCAGAAAATAAGTTGTTAAACAAGTTTTAACCCCATCTCTACTAAATGCTTTTCCGTAGAAGGTTCTTTGGAGGTACATTTGTCTGGGTCTTTATTAAAGCTTTTCAATATGAGCTTATTAAAAACAGGCACTTGATGACAAAGTGGGAGACGACAGATTGCTGGATGCAGTCCGAGTTAGTGTATAGATGTGCCTGTCGTCAACAACTCCAGCCAGTTTCATCCCTAGTGAAACTTACTTTTGTAGGAAGAATGTAATGTATAATTTAAAATTTTGTAAAATTGAAACATTACAACAAGTATTATAAGGCAGGGGGAGGGACATTAGTTTTTTTTTAATCTAGAACTTTCCAAATCTCAAAGCCAAAGAACTGCTAAACATTACCCCTACTAATTGAGGAAATGACGATGCTTTCAAAAATACCCTTAATTATGAAAGGAGTTTTCTGTTACCAGAAAGGGCGGACATTGTAGACCATCTGCAGCTTCCTTCCTGGTTCCTTAGAAAAGCTGTTACATCTTGGCTGAGCACGGTGGCTTGCGCCTGTAATCCCAGCACTTTGGGAGGCTGAGCCAGATGGATTGCTTGAGCCCAGGAGTTTGAGACCAGCCTGGGAAACATGGTGAAACCTCATCTCTACTAAAAGCACAAAAATTAGCCAGGTGTGGTGGCACGCACCTGCAATCCCAGCTACTCAGGAGGCTGAGGCAGGAGAATTGCTTGAACCCGGGAGGCAGAGGTTACAGTGAGCTGAGATCATGCCACTGCACTCCAGCCTGGGTGACAGAATGAGTCTGAGTCTCAAAAAAAAAAAAAGCTATTATGTTTGTCTTCCTGCCTCCCTATCGTTTTTCATTCTCTTCATGTTAAATCTCTTCACGGTATTCCACATCATTGTCATATCCTGAAAGTAAAGAAACATTTAAATCTGTAGAAGGAGATTATTTTTAAAAATGATGGTTTGGCAGTGTATGTTCAGTTACTGATTTGCCACATTCTGTTTCTAAAAAAAGAAGTTGGATATTTAGGTAAAAATATACCTGTTTATTAACTGGCGATTTAAAATTTAATAATGTCGAAGAACGGACTTCTGAGTCTTATGTGTGTTTGTAAAATATATATCTTCTCCTCACACAAGTAAATTGTGTCAGTGTCATCCCACTTACCAGAACAGTGAAGTGTCTCCACTGTATTTTTACTTTCTGCTTCTGCACTTGTAAGCTTTATACCACTAATTTAATCTGATTTAAAATGCTTTATACTATTTAGTTTTAAATGATATGGTAAATATTTTTTTAAAGAGCCATAGGGATAGCTCTTACATCCTCCCACCATTTTCCTTGTCTCCTTTCTCCAGCCAAAAACCCCACTTGACAACAAAACAAAGTTATTAGATATATCCAATATATCTAATTTTTTTGGTGCCAGGCCTTCCCATCTGCAAGATTCTGGAGGGAGCCGAGTGGTTTTATTGTTGTCCACAAGCTCTGCTTTTATCTCTTCTCAGAAAACAAAAGCACATCACCTAGAACTTTATGGCCCAGGTAGCAGGGTATTTTTTAAATGATAGTTTTTGTTAATAAAAATCCTGACGTTTCCATGCAGTTTCCTTTATAGAGCACACAATATTTTGAATTGATTATTGCTTTAGCTAGTGGTGTTTACTTAGCATTTCCAACCCCACATTTTCTGTCCCTGCTACTTGAGAATAGACACCCCTACTGGGATATTCAAGGAAGTAGATGATCAGGTGGATTTTTTTTTTTAATCTTTTGGGAAAAACGGATACAAACTTAAAATTTAAAAGATACATTTCTAACTTAGTGCCATAGAATTCCTTTTTAAAAAATTTTTATTATCAGCCAGGTGCAGTGGCTCAAGCCTGTAATCCCAGCACTTTGGGAGACTGAGGTGGATGGATCACTTGAGATCCAGAGTTCAAGACCAGCCTCACCAACATGGTGAAACCCCATCTCTACTAAAAAAAAAAAAACAAAATTAGCTGGGTGTGGTGGCACATGCCTGTAATCCCAGCTACTCAGGAGGCTGAGGCAGGAGAATCACTTGAACCCGGGAGACAGAGGTTACGGTGAGCCAGGATCGCACCATTACACTCCAGCCTGGGCAACAAGAGTGAAACTCCATCTTGGGGGGGAGTTTTCATTATCATTAAAATATAAGCAAATATTTAATCAGTGTTATATGCTTTATCTTTAACATAGTAGCCTAGTGAGTAGGGTTTGAAGATGGATGCCAGTGTTGACTAAGTATCTTATGCAAAATCTATTAATTGTCTGGTTTGGTTGGATCTATAATGGAAACACATGAAAAAAAAAAAAACTGATGACTTCATGAGTCCACCAGAGCACAGTTTGTCACTGTCTCTTTTAAAAAGTCTAGGGTTAGTGATACTGTGGTAAGGGTGATGTGGGAGTATGGGATGTACTGAGAGATTATTCCCGATGATGGAGTTTGAAACACCTCTCATGTCTGAAGAGTGAGCCATAGGTAGTTGCCACAGGTTCACTAGAAGGAATGTTTGGGTTTCAGGTTGAACTGGTGATACTGTAAAGAACCCACAGTCTTTTCCACAGTGCTATCTAGACAAGAATAAAACATTTTTAAGTTTCTATGGTTTTTATTCTAGCCTTTTTAAAAATTGTCAGTGTTACATTCCTAAATTTTTTGTTGAACAAATAAATCCGTCTGTCTCTTAACTATGCCCTTCGTTTTTAAACCTAGTAACTCCATCCCTGTTTCCTCTTTTCTCCCTGCATTTCTGTTTCTGTCTTTGATGTCATCCCCAGTATGAGCTGGTGCCCCTCTGGTGTGCAGTACTCTGCTGGCCTAAGTGCTGATCTTAATTACAGAAGGTATGATATTGTTATGTGTCCAGCCACCAAATGGGGAACCATAAAATATGCCATCAGGGCTTTTGGCTTGGAGCTGGCTTCTGTGTGGCTGGGATGCATATGGCCAGCCTGCTTTGTCTGTGAGCACAGCGTTTCATTGCCTCTGCTATGGGTGTCACTAACTCAACTGAGGGGATACAGCCTAAGAGTCAGGTAATGCATCCTGTATGTCTCAAATGGCCATAGATTTGATGTTTTCTGCACAGATTTATCTCTCTCTGTCTTGGCCTGTCTTGATTTTCAGATCCTAGAAATTCTTGGATCCTGAATAAAACAATCAGAGAACCAAGGCAGCTAATAAGATGTACTGATTTCTGTTATGCTTCTAAATCCACCAATCTGTGTAGATTCCAAATTCGGAGACTCCTCGTCGTTTCATATTCTTGTCTCAACTGAACAGCCAGATTTGATTACTAAAACATTTTCAGGATTAACTTTTGCAATAAGCATAGATCTGGTTTTCTTAGGCTTTTCAAGTAATTTCTTCTTCACTTAGCCCCTCTTCTTATCCCTGGTATTGCAAATGAGTTTTACAGGCCAGGTGTGATGGCTCACACCTGTAATCCCAGTACTTTGGGAGGCTCAGGTGGGCAGATTACCTGAGGTCAGGCATTTGAGACCAGCCTGACCAACATGGTGAAACCCTGTCTCTACTAAAAATACAAAAATTAGCCAGACACACTAGCAGGTACCTGTAATCTCAGCTACTTGGGAGGCTGAGGCAGGAGAACCACTTGAACCCAGGAGATGGAGGTAGCAGTGAGCCAAGATGAGGCCACTGCACTCCAGCCGGGGCAACAGAGGGAGGCTCTGTCTCAAAAAAAAAAAAAAAAAAAAAGGAAAAGAAAGAAAATGAGGTTTACAGAGACATTTACTTGTAGTTAGTCATGATTTCTATTATATTGAAGTAAGAAAAACATATCCCTTGTTTAATTTACCTACTAGAGAAAATAGAGATATATATGGCTTCATTTCACAATAAGTGATTTACAAAATCAAAATAAATAAATAAATAAAAAATTTAAAAAGCAAATACAAATCCTGGACTGGTAGGTATGAACTTAATTGTAGCAATTTTCTGTACAGTTTTCCTTGAGTGGAGATAACTGAGTAGCTTTAGTATACCTTCCAATTGAATTCCAGCTCATTGTTAGCTGAGAACATCGTCAGCTACAGCTGTGTTTTGAGATCTTGGTTATTTTAAAGAAGTTTCCGCTGCAGTTGTAATAGATGTGAATTATTCTAGTTAGTAACCCAAGGAGGTTAAATCACTAACCTGTCTCTGTAGCCTTCTGCTTACTGAAAATGCTTTTCATTCTGCAAACCACAGAATCTTTCTTGGAGGAATCCTCTTTAAAATGCCAAATCCTGATTGCCTTTGTTCCCTTTACCAATATCCGGGCAAAAAATTACAGCTCTTTCTACTATTAGACCTGGTTGCTTTTTCAGCATTTGTTCATTAAGGTGTTATATGTGCCTGTTGCAACTAACAATTCTCGGGAAGTCTGTCAGCAGTTGTTTGGCCAGGTGTGCATAGAATAGATGGTAACACTCATGAGTAACACTTGGGTTTTCTGGGGTGAAAGCATACCTGTAAAATTATAAAGGTCAACTTGAACGTAAAATTATAAAGGTCCACTTAATGGACATAAGGGCAAGTTACCCAGTTTGCCTTCTGAAAGTTACTTAAGCTCATATTTTCTCTGTGAGATTTAATTACTTGGCATTAGTACAGTTAGATTCACAAAGATTAATTAGATCAAGGAAAAACATTTATAAAGTATCCGATAACTATGGTCTGTCTGTATAGTATATTGAAAAATATCTGAGAAATGATCTTAGGTGGTTCAACATTTGGATAAATTTAATGGGGTAAGAAAATCTAAGTGCAGTATTCTTTCTCAGTATTCCAAGATCTGTGGAGGAAAGGTAGGTGGTATTCTTTGTGCTATGCCCTTTTAGACAGTTTTGCTAGCTGACATAGAAATAATACATGAACAAGGGAGATACACCCAAAGGGATTTTGTGTCCTCCTCTGTTTTTGAGACCCAGAAATAGAATGAATTAACTTTTGTGCCCTGTGTTCAGTTTCAGTCTAGAAGGCTTGACAGGAGGAGCTGGTGTCGGAAACAAGCCATCCTCATCTCTAGAAGTAAGCTCTGCAAATGCCAAAGAGCTCAGACACCCATTCGGTGGTGAGGAACGGGTTGACTCTTTGGTGTCACTTTCGGAAGAGGATCTGGAGTCAGGCCAGAGAGAACATAGGATGTTTGATCAGCAGGTAAGTCTTAAATATGTCTAATTTGGAAAAAATGTATTTCACAAAATGTGAACATAGAAGGCAAGGCTTCTGGTAGTATAAGGCTAGTAGCTATGATTACTTACCCATTTTATGATATACTTAATCTAGCACTAAACCAAGTTTTTAGCACTTAATTAAAAAGGGCCAGGCATGGTGGCTCATGACTATAATCCCAGTGCTTTGGGAGGTTGAGGCAGGAGGATCACTTGAGCCCAGAAAACTCAAGACCAGCCTGGGCAACATAGCAAGACCCCCATCTCTACAAAAATTTAAAAATTGGCTGGACATGGTGGCTTGTGCCTGAAGGCTGAGATAGGAGGATTACTTGAGACCAGGAGTTTAAGGCTGCATTGAGCCGTGATTGCACCGCTGCACTCCAGCCTGGGTGAAAGAGCGAGACTCTGTCTCTAAAAAAAAAAAAAGAAAAAAATAAAGAAAGAATGCCATTAATCTGCATAGATTTAAATATTCCATCAAGGCACACTTTTTAAAATTAGGAAAGTATCCAGGATATTAAATTGAGTTTTTCCTTCTTATCTGAGACCGTCTTTTACCATCTCAATAGTAAAATGAATCTTGAAATATGCTACATATCGTTATTTTCCCAATTCTCTAAAACATACCCCAAGTTTCTCCTTTGTAGGAAAAAAAACTTTCTTACTATACCTTCCAGGAAATGTCTGTTGATTCTCTCTCCTTCCCTTCCCTACTAGAATTCTTTTTTTTTTTTAATACTTTAAGTTACAGGGTACATGTGCACAACATGGATGTCTGTTACATAGGTATACATGTGCCATGTTGGTTTGCTGCACCCATTAACTCATTATTTACATTAAGTATTTCTCCTAATGCTATCCCTCCCCCAGTCCCCTACCCCACAACAGGCCCCGGTGTGTGATGTTCCCTGCCCTGTGTCCAGGTGTTCTCATTGTTCCATTCCCACCTGAGTGAGAACATGCGGTTTGGTTTTCTGTCCTTGTGATAGTTTGCTCAGAATGATGGTTTCCAGCTTCATCCATGTCCCTGCAAAGGACATGAACTCATCATTTTTTATGGCTGCATAGTATTCTGTGGTGTATATGTGCCACATTTACTTAATCCAGTCTGTCATTGATGGACATTTGGGTTGGTTCCAAGTCTTTGCTATTGTTAACAGTGCCGCAGTAAGCATACATGTGCATGTGTCTTTATAGTAGCATGATTTATAATCCTTTGGGTATATACCCAGTAATGGGATTGCTGGGTCAAATGGTATTTCTAGTTCTAGATCCTTGAGGAATTGCCACACTATCTTCCACAGTGGTTGAACTAGTTTACACTCCCACCAACAGTGTAAAAGCGTTCCTATCTTTCCACATCCTCTCCAGCATCTGTTGTTTCCTGACTTTTTAGTGATCATCATTCTAACTGGTATAAGATGGTATCTCATTGTGGTTTTGATTTGCATTTCTCTGATGACCAGTGATGATGAGCTTTCTTTATGTTTCATAAATGTCTTCTTTTGAGAAGTGTCTGTTCATATCCTTTGCCCACTTTTTGATGGGGTTGTTTGTTTTTTTCTTGTAAATTTGTTTAAGTTCTTTGTAGATTCTGGATATTTGTCCAGATCTTTTGTCAGATGGGTAGATTGCAAAAATTTTCTCCCATTCTATAGGTTGCCTGTTCACTCTGATGCCTACCAGAATTCTTAAGAGAGTATCTATGCTCCTTGCCTTCTCTTTTTAAAATTTTATTTGTTTATTTACTTATTTAGAGACAGGGTCTCACTCTGTCACCCAGACTGGAGTGCAGTGTTGCCATCACAGGTCACTGCAGCTTCAACTTCCCCAGTTCAAGTGATCCTTCTGCCTCAGTCTCCCAAAGTGCTGGGATTGCAGGTCTGAGCCACTGCTCCTGGCCCTTGCCTTCTCTTTATCACCACCTAATCATATCTTAATTTCTGCTGCTGTCACTCTCTTGAAACTCCTGTCTTGAAGGTCATGGATTTCCTTGTCAGCCAAATCAAAGTGACTTCTTAGTTCTCATCTTCTGGGTGTCCTCATTATCACTTACCACTTTTGACAATCCCTTGGGGAGGTTTTGAGAATTTGAATGATATGCTTTTATAGCATTGTACCTTACTGCAAGTCTTTTCTCTTCCTCTTGGGCCAGGAGACTTTGATTAATTTATGAAAGCATTCTGGGATACATCTTATTTCCTCCAAATGAAACATTTATAATTAAAAAAAAAAACTCTTTTTGAATAGATGACTGGAGTTTGGGGCAAAAATCTAATAATACATTTCTAATTAAACAAAAATGTTGACAACCTCTTCCTTGATTTGCTGAGTAGGACTTTGTGTAGAAGTTTAATTTTTTATTGTATCCTACTACAAGGCACTAACATGACCAAATATAAACTTGACACTGAAGGATTATCTTAGTAATTATTGTAGCACTTATGCTTGTGTGAGACCAGAGGAATAAAGAGATTTAGGCATAATGAAAATCAGTTGAAGAGTAAATTTTGCCCCTTTAAAAATTTTTTCTACTTGTTCTGATACTTCAGAAAGAGAAAAAATAAGAATATGAAGAATATGCTTGTTGAAGCAAGTGATTTAGATTTACTCAGCCTAACAGTAACAGAAAAAAGAAGGAAAAAATAGGAACAATTCTTGGGTGGCTACTGAGCACAGCTTTGCTAACAGTAAATAAACCAGTGAACAAAATCTTTAAAATAAAGTGCATTTCAAATGTATAGAATCCTTTGGAAATCATGTGCAAGGTAAGGTAAAATACCAAAATTGTGGATTTGTAAACAATCATAGATCAAGACCCATATATCCTTTCAGATTCAGCTCAAGCTCATTTAAATGGCTTGCCTAAGGTGGTATAAGTGGCTATTAGCTAAACAGTATTAAACTCAGAGTTCCTGGCTGTTAATTTCACTGCTTCTTTCCAGGTTTTGGAGTAGGTGAATTTTAATGAGGAAATAAGAATGATTTAATTTTCTTAATATTGTTTATTTTCTGAGATGGATGTTTCCAGGAATTTGACAGATAACCCTGCATTTTAGTAAGACATTACTACCACTGATGTGTTTCTAAAAATGGACTATCTTTCTGAAGCGGACTTTCTGATTCAGTCTTTCTAGATTAAGTTGTTGTTTTAGTGCCTTGCTATGCTTAGCCTTCCTGGAATCTCTACTTAGCCATAGTTTTTATCTTGTATGGAACCTCAGAGTGGGTATTTGAGCTGCTTGTATCATTCTGATCTGGATGAGTTGCCTGCAGCCAACTTCCTGTTAAAAGTCTCTGCCTTTCACTGAGGTCATTTTTTAGACCTCACAGTTGTATTTGAAACATAGCAACTGTTTACCTCAGCTGCCATGGTTACACATGAAACAAGCTCTAAATAATCAGAAGTCTGGCCTAATTGAGTCAAGTTCATGCTAGTAACGGATTTTTCATTGCTTCTCTTTCAACATGTGTGAGTCATAAGGAGGCAGATTTCATTCTGTGAAGGGAAGGGATTAATGATAAAGTCAGTTAACAATTGGAATGGGCTCTTTTTTTGTGTGTGTGGTTTTTTTTGTTTTTGAGACAGAGTCTCGCTCTGTAGCGGAGGCTAGAGTGCAGTGGCGCGATCTCGACCTCGGCTCACTGCAAGCTTCGCCTCCCGGGTTCACGCCATTCTCCTGCCTCAGCCTCCTGAGTAGCTGGGACTACAGGCACCCGCCACCGCATCCAGCTAATTTTTTTGTATTTTTAGTAGAGACAGGGTTTCACCGTGGTCTCCATCTCCTGACCTCACGATCCGCCCACCTCGGCCTCCCAAAGTGCTGGGATTACAAGCGTGCGCCACCGCACCCGGCCAGGAATGGGCTCTTATCACCAGAAGTGTGCTAGTGGACACTAGACAACTGTCTTTCAGGGATATTGTACCAGGAACTTCTACAGGTGGTTGGATTACATGGTCTCAAAGCTGCTGTGAATTTACTGAGAGTTAAATTGTCAAATTTCAGTTACCTCTATGTTCATGTAGAATCAGTATCATCTTAGAAGAGGATAGGGAAGCAATTTAGGCTTCTTTCCAGATACATTGTTGCTTTGTTTGTGACCTTAAAACTCTTTACTTGAATCTCAATATTCCAATTATTTAAAACCAGAGGCCAGGCCTGGCGGTTCACGCCTATAATCCCAGCATTTTGGGAGGCTGGGGCGGGCGGATCAGTTGAGCTCAGGGGTTTAAGACCAGCCTGGCCAACATGGTGAAACCCTGTCTCTACCAAAAATACAAAAAATTAGCTGGGCATGGTTGGTGTGCGCCTGTAATCCCAGCTACTCAGGAGGCTGAGGCGGGAGAATCACTTGAACCCGGGAGGCGGACATTGCAGTGAGCCGAGATCATGCCACTGCACTCCAGCCTGGGCCACAGAGTGAGACTCTGTCTCAAAAATAAAAATAGGCTGGGTGTGGTGGCTCACGCCTGTAATCCCAACACTTTGGGAGGCCAAGGTGGGCGGATCACAAGGTCAGGAGTTTGAGACCTGCCTGACCAACATGGTGAAACCCCATCTCTACTAAAAATACAAAAATTAGCTGGGTATGGTGGTGCACACCTGTAATCCCAGCTACTCAGGAGGCTGAGGCAGGAGAATCGTTTGAACTGGCAGGCGGAAGTTGCAGTGAGTCAAGATTATGCCATCAGCTAGGGTGACAGAGTGAGACTCTGTCTAAAAAAGTAATAATAATAAATAAAGTAAAATCAGAATACTGTTACCAATATTCTACTATATCTGTATGAAGGAGTATTTAGATTTTCAAAGAACAAGTATTGTATGTAGTTTGATATTTCCAGTGAAATTATTTTTATGTGATTATGCATCCAGCAGATATTTATTAAGTACTTACTAAGTTTGAAACATTGTTAGGTGCTGTGAGGGATACAGAACCACTGTAAAGAATGGATACTCTAATGATCCCCATTTTCAGATGAGAAAACTAAGCCTCAGAAAAGCTAAGTAACTTTTCTGAAATTGAGCAGCTGTTAAGTAGCAGGAGCAGACTTTAACCTATGTCTGTCTGACCACAAGGCCTGTGCTCTCACCCCCTTCTGTACTGCCTTATTTTACTATGTAGGTCTAATTATAAGGTTTTATGCTTACCTAGAAATATGAGAGCATATGCTTACAACCTGTTCTTTACTCTTTTACTTCACAGATATGTCACAGATCTAAGCAGCAGGGATTTAATTACTGTACATCCGCCATTTCCTCTCCATTGACAAAATCCATCTCATTAATGACAATCAGCCATCCTGGATTGGACAGTGAGTATACTACTTTTTTAAAAAATTAAATATATTAAATCTTAACCACTGTTCCTATTATTTTTCTCACTTTAAGGCCTAATAACATTACCTGCAAAAATTTGCTTGCTGCTGCTTTGAATGAATGGCTTAGCACTTAAACAGAAAAGGTGACATAGAGTTCATCATGAGATCTTCCTCCTTTTGCTACCTGAAAATATCCATAATACATTAAGTTTATTGTATTTGTGGGCACTTTTTTTTTGTTTTTTGTTTTTTGTTTTGAGATGGAGTCCCGCTCTGTTGCCCAGGCTGGAGAGCGGTGGTGCGATCTTGGCTCACTGCAAGCTCCACCTCCTGGGTTCATGCCATTCTCCTGCCTCAGTAGCTGGTACTACAGGCGCCCACCACCACGCCCAGCTAATTTTTTGTATTTTTAGTAGAGACAGGGTTTCACCCTGTTAGCCAGGATGGTCTCAATCTCCTGACCTCGTGATCCGCCCCTCTTGACCTCCCAAAGTGCTGGGATTACAGGTGTGAGCCACCGCGCCCAGCCAGACACAGTTTTTAAACATTTTTTATTTTGAAGTAATTTTAGACTTGAAAAATAGTTATAAATAATGTTCACTGGGGAAAAAAAATTGCAAAAATAGTACAAAGTATTCCCATGTATTCTTCACTTCTAGTCTTCATATGTTAGAATACTTGTTTCACCGGCCTCTCCCCCTCTCTTTGTCACTCCCCTTAAAGATTTTTTCTGAAACATTTGAGAGAGTAAGTTGTATCCGTAACACTCCTTCACCTCTAATTTAGTGTATATTTCCTAAAAACAAAGATATTCTCTTATATTACCATAGTATATGAGTACCATATACGGGCCTTCTCTGGCCACTGAGTGCTAGCATTAGTATATAAGAGTACCTTATACTCTTATATACTATGATAATACTATATTACCATAGTATAATTATCCAAATCAGGAAATTAATGTCAATAAAATTATGTTATCTAATATGCACACCTTATTCAGATTTCAAATTTTCTCACTTATTTCTGGGTCCAAGATTCAGTCTAAGAACATATATTGAATTAAGTTGTCATGTCTCTTTAGACCTCTTTAATCTAAAAAGTTCCTCAGTTGATCCCTGTCTTTCATGAATTTGTCAGTGGAGAAAACTGGCACAGTAACTGACCTGAGCTTTTCAACAATGTCAAACTCAAGAAGGACAAAGCAAGTCTGAGACAGAGATTTAGTTCTGTGAGGGCCAGTAGGATTACATCTGAAAGGGGTTAGTGGACCTGTACGCAGGTTCAGATCAACTGGCGATGGAAGTTATGTAGAGCTATCATGGCACCCATAAGCACAGGGCCTTGCGATGCTCAGAAACATACTTGGATTGGATCAGTGTTGTTTTGTCACAAAGCAACTTGTTCTTTGAGAAGCCTCATTTTTTATTTTTTAAATGTTGATTTTTTTATGAGTAGTTGCTGTGTGGAATCTGGATATAAAGATTAAATTCTCATCAAAGAGGGAGTGAGTGATACATTATGTTCTTTGCTGAAAGAGCATGTGTCTTGGAGGCTGAAGCCAAGGAAATAAACACATTCTCCTGGTGTTTCTGGGGTTTCCTCATTATTCCCTGATATAATTCAGTTTAAGAGTTGAGAAGCAGATGCCCTGTATTTATGGGATGTTCCATCTCACTTCATGACTTACTGGAATCCTAATTTTTAAAATTTTCACAGTGGAATTAAGACATAATGGATGATTCTAGCCAGACATGGTGACACATGCCTGTAGTCCGGCTGCTTCAGAGGCTGAGGCAGGAGGATCATGAGCCCAGGAGGTCAAGGCTGCAGCGAGCTGTGATGGCACGACTGCATTCCAGCCTGGGTGATAGAGTGAGACACTGCCTCAAAACAAAAAGAGAGAGAGAGAAAGACATAATGGATGATTCTGTTAAATTTTTTCTTGTTTTCATGTGATTAATATTTCAAGTACAAATCTAGCCTACTTGACAAAAGGTGTCTAATGAAGACTTATTTTCAAAGATGTGTGCCCCAGAACTGTGACAGAAATAGCTTTTCCTGTTTTTGCGTGTTTTGATTTTTTTTTTAATTTGGCTTTGAGTTAGAGGTTTGGCTTGTATAGAATGGAAATTACAATTGAATAGTTTGCAGTGAATTTGATAAGCCAGAATGCTAGCACTCAGTAGCCAGAAAAGGCCAGGAAGGCTCTCTAAGTGAGACATTTCAGCTCAGTGTGCCCTCCTTCTGTGACCAGCAAGCATCATGACATAGAGGATATTGTACTTCTACAGCAACAGATACCTAGTACCAACAGAATGTATCCCAAAGAGAGACCTTTTTCCTATATTTTGTGACCCACTTTCTTTCCTTGTGGATGAAACACTTCATTATTTTTCCTTCACAAAGCAAGGTGCTTTTGGACTGTGTTTTCAGTTGCTGTCCAAACACTATAAATAATACAGCTAACTCCCAAAAGCACTATTCTAGAGGTTCTGACACACAGAGCTTTTCTTCCCATTGCTGATAATTTTTCTGCTCAACTCACCTAGGGAACCTGATTTCAGTAGTAGACTACTGTCAAAAGTAGAGCTTCAAGCAAGAGTTTACGCCTTTCATCCAAATATAATACCCTCATTCTGATTTGTAGCGTGCATTTCACGCAGACTGGAATGATAGCTAGCCCCACGTACCTTTCTAATACCATATGCTGCAACAGAAGGACCCATCAACCTTAATGTCACTGTTTCTCCTTAGTTCCTCCTATATACAATTAAAATAGTTTCCCAACTGTATTTGTTATTCTACACTAGAAACATAATACATCATTTTGGAAATGTTAAAATTCTGACTGAAGAGAAGACTAAAACTTGTGTTAAAGTGTGTGTGGTATGCCTTAAGCATCAGGATAGCTGGGTATTTCATAATTTGCTCCAGACTCAAGTGTTCAATTCCAAATCACTTAAATACTCAGCATGACTCATCTATGGTCATATTCTCCCTAACTGAAATAGTGTAATAGTTAAAATCCTCAGTGATTTTTAAAGCCTAAAATGTTTGGTACACTTAAAATATTTTAACTGATATTTTAAGCACACTTAGTGGCTGTATTACTTTGAGCTTGTTACTGAAACTCTCTGCCTCAATTCAGCTGTTAAATGGGGATGATAATGTGATGTGGCTTAAATCGACTTTATTTGAAGTCCATAGCGTATTTTCTGTCACATAATGAGCACATGCTGTCATTGTGGAGTGTGATTGTTCACAATAACCAGAACAGCGCCAGGGTCCATTTTTCTCTGCCCAGAGCTTAAACAAGGTTAGACGTTGCTCACCATTGCTAGAACATTGTCTCTTGTTGTCTTGCACTTGGCTGTTTATTGTGAGCGTGCTTGTTTAGGAACAGAATGTTTTCTAAACTCATCCTAATCTCACTGCTTTCCAGCTTTTACCTGTGCTCTTTTTCCTTCTAAAGAAATTATTAGTTGCCTCGACCACAGTTTATCACAGCTGTCAGTAAAACTTGAGCATTTCTGAAAATGTATTTCCACTGAGCTGTTGTCCAGAATGTCTTTTGTTGGGTCATTTGCTGGATTAGAAAAACAGTCAAACTTGTAGCATTATTTCTAAGCTGGGATCTGTTTTAAAAAAAATCTATTGATGTAAAGGAAAATACTGAGTAGAGAGGGTGACTAAAATATTTCTGTGTCACTTTCTGGGATGGAGAGCAGGCAAGCAGTAGCTTCTTTAGGAACCACAGAGGACGGGAAAAGCTGCAGTGCCTCCTGTCTTGGACTTACTGTCTTGATTTGAAGGGTGAGATATGATAAGCGTGACTTGCCAGCCATTTTTTAGGGGGTTGCAGTAGCACAGGTGCTGGCTGTGTCATGAGGCTTGGTGCCTGTGAGGACTGCCCTGAGGGAAACCTCTCCATGGAATGTGTGCATGGCATTTCTCCTCCTTGCATCAGAGAAAGATTGTGTGGGGCCTTTTTCTCCCACTGTACTGCGAAATGTAGATGGTTTCTTGATAGAACTTAAAAAAATTTTTTTATTTTTACATGTATAGAATTCAGTTATGACAGATGATCTTTTTTTTTGATACGGAGTCTGGCTCTGTCACCCAGGTTGTAGTGCAGTGGTGGGATCTCTCACTGCAAGCTCCTCCTCTTGGGTTCACGCCATTCTCCTGTCTCAGCCTCCCAAGTAGATGGGACTACAGGCGCCTGCCACCACGCCCGGCTATTTTTTTTTGTATTTTTTAGTAGAGACGGAGTTTCACCTTGTTAGCCAGAATGGTCTCGATCTCCTGAGTCGTGATCCGCCCGCCTCGGCCTCCCAAAGTGCTGGTCTTACAGACGTGAGCCACCACACCCGGCCCAGATGATCCCTTTCTATGGCTGTATTTTTAACCTTTTCATTGCTCCCACCCAGAAGATGCTTCAAATAATAATCTGCTTGATTACATCCCTGGAAACACATTAGTGGTGATATGTTGAAAGGGGTATTGGACCCATTAGATGTTTTAACTTCATATGCTTCTTAATGAGATTTCATTTTCCCATTCATTTTGTGTGGTGTGTTACAGGTTGAGCATCCCTAATTTGAAAGTCTGAAATGCTCCAAAATCTGAACCATTTGAACACCAACATGATGCCACAAGTGGAAAATTCCATGTATGAGGCGTTAACAAAATTATGTAAAATATTATAAAAAATTACCTTTGGGCTATGTATATAAGCTATATATGAAACAAATGAATTTCATGTTCAGATGTGGTTCCCATCCCCAAGATGTCTCATCATATATATGCAAATATTCCAAAATTCAAAACCTGAAATACTTCTGACCCCAAGCATTTCAGAAGGAATACTCTATGTGTATCACAAAGAAGGGCACTTTCCCTTGGGGTCATTTTTATAACTTCGCTTATGGCATGTGAGTTTGCCAAGTTTCTTAAGCATGTTTTGATGGGAGCAGTAACTTGTAATTGTGTGGCATGCATTAGACTATGACAGCTAAGGCCGTCTTGAGAGCTGAACTGTGGCAGTTATATATCTATACCAGATCTTTAAAAAGGTAAAGGATCTGTGTGACCAAAGATCAAGGTGGGCCTCTGGAAAGTTAGGCATCAGTGCTATTGAGGATATTTTATCTCTGTTTTCTGGATTTCTTCTCTAACTGTGATGGAAATTTACTGAAGTATGTGTATATCTGTGTGTGTGTGTGTGTGTGTGTGTGTGTGTGTGTGTATATATAAAAGTGTATATATATATATTCTTAGCACAGTTCTGTTTGGAAAAGATAACATTGACAAATACATCAGAACAAAAATGTAATCAGACTTCTTTTTGACGTTATTAAATTGTAAGACTGGAAAACTTGCGTGTTCATTAAATATATATGAAATATAAACTTTAAATCAAATACCTTATAAAATTGAATTGCTATGTTACCAGAACATTTCCTTTATATAATATATATATGTTGGAGATTTCTGTTTGTCAGGGATACACTAGATACTCATCACTTAAGGTTTTTCCTTATGATCTATGATTTTGTGACGCATGAAAGGGATGTTCTTAGATTCTGGGTAATAGGAGCAGCTCATTTTCATTTTGTAAATCCGTTTCACATTTGGAGGCACATCAGAACACACAGTAGTATCTTACTTTTGCACAAGACTCTCACTGCCTGACAAACTAGTGTGTATTTGTACCAACATTTCTTTGATCTATTACGTGCAGTGGCTGCAACAGCAAACAGTGATGTCACTTAGCATTTATCTGGGGTATGGAGTTGCTTTCATATTAGATAGGTACAGGGCTTTTTCTCTCATTTCATTTAGGACATTGAGATTCCAGAAAGTCGGATAAAGGGAAGTTCGTTTATTAATGTGTTTATCGAGTAAATATTTGAGTACCTACTCTTTTCCATATACCAGGCTAGACAGTGGTAGGAGAGGGGAGAACTCACAGGTCGGGTTGCTTTCCTCACCACATTTATAGATGAGAACAAGTGAATCTAATAGAAAATGGTAAATGTAGTAACTTAAACATTTGATGTTATAGGACTGACAGACCTAAGGGGTCAGAGAAGGCTGACTGAGGAGAAGTAATATTAAAGTTTGGACCAGAAGGAAACTGGGAATTAGCTGGGTGAATTAGTATGTAGAAAGCAAGACTGCGGAATTTTGGCCTCTCGCCTGAGGGAAATGGAATCATTTACGTTGATTAAATTGATCCAATAATTGATTAGAACACTTCAGGCTAACTATGGGGAGGAGAGATTGGATCAGTAGAAGGCTTGTTATGTTATGTTATGTTATGTTATGTTATGTTATGTTATGTTATGTTATGTTATGTTATTTTTAAGACGGAGCCGTCGCCCAGGCTGGAGTGCAGTGGCGCTATCTCAGTTCCTGCCTCAGCCTCCTGAGTAGCTGGGATTACAGGTGCCTGCCACTACGCCCAGCTAATTTTTTGTATTTTTAGTAGAGACGGGGTTTCACCATGTTAGCCAGGCTAGTCTCGAATTCCTGACCTCATGATTTGCCTGCCTCGGCCTCCCAAAGTGCTGGGATTACAGGCATGGGCCACCACGTCTGGCCAATAGAAGGCTTTTGCAGGATTCAGGTTACAGTAATAGACCATGTCCTAAACCAAGGCAGAGAGCAGTGGCAATAGGGGAGGAATAGAGGCTGAGCTAGAAGACAAAGTGAAGAAGCCTGAGTGAAGTGTGATATAAGGATTCAGAGATGGTGCCCAGGTTTCCGTTTTGAGTAATGAGTTAGATGTTGGTACCACTCACTAAGTGAAGGAACACAGGAGGAGGAACAGTTCTGCAGGAAAATATAAGTTCACTTACCTGCTTTTGGAGCTGTAGCTGCCTGTGGAACATCCACCCACAGGTGAGCAGGGAGAGGAATGAGCCTAGAGCTAAATAGAGAGATCTGGCTTCCAGATTAGAAAGATGTGACTCACCAGTGTCTTGTATGCAGATTGTCGTTAAGAGGTAGAGTGAATGAGGAGATTTGGGGTGAGGGAGAAGAGAGCCAGATATGGAATCCTGAGGAACACCACTAGTAGATGTTTTTAGTATACTTTTAAGAAAGAGAACCCCAGGTATGAATTGTGATCATTCTTGTTTTCATAATCTAACAGGTATGTATTTATTAGCCGAATTTTTTAGAAACTGCATTAGAATTCTGTATATTCAGAAATGGAGATGAGAATGTAAACAAATTATTACATCATTCACCATTTCCCGGAACCACATAGTCCATTGACATTATACTGTTTCCCCGTATGCTGAAGGTCCTGGCGTAATCTGTGCATGCTCTAATGTCTTCTGTGAACCTCCTCAGCTCAGCAGCAGATGCGGCCAGCAAGGCGGATCTCCATCAGCATCTCTCCGCTCCTCCTTAAGTCTAAAACTCTCTTTTCTCTTGGCTCTTCTTATTCCAGTGATGAGGAGGAGGAGTTGCATAGTAAGTAAGCAACTTTAGTGTCCAGTGACTGTTCTTGAAGGTCTGACCAGCTCAGAAAATGCTATAGGCTTGGTACTAAGAAATTGTTTGGAGGCTTTTAGCCCCTTGCATGCCATCCTTTGTAAGTCATTTGTCTTTATGCTTGCCTTTGAGAATTGGTTTGGATAGAACATTTGTTGTCTTCTGTGTAGTACTGACACTGAGCCACTGGCCTCCTGATTCCAGGGCACAAGATATCTTTCCAGCACACAGATACCCTCAAAGGTGTAGGGGATGTGTTCCCATCCCATTGTGTACTCTTTGTAATAGTATTGTGTGCTAATTTCACAAAACTTTTTATTTCACAATGTAAATTTTATTTTCCTTGTTTTGTTGTTCTGTCTCTTGGGACAGATATCTAGATGTTCATCTGTGGTATTTAAAAGCTATTTTTACACTTTTTTTCTTCTCCTTTTCAGACCATTTCTTTAAAAACACCTTTCCTTTAAGATTAGACCCTATGGATTAGAGGGAGGGAGTTATATATGTATTTATCTCCTACTTTCTCTCTCCTTTTGAACTTTTATTTTTTCAGTTCTTTGGATAAACTGTAGGCTTCAAATGAATACATTCTTACTTGATAATGCCTAGTGTAAAAACTTTACAAGGTATCAATTTAAGTAAACTTGGAAAAGAAATAAATTCCCCCTTCATGAAAATTACTGTCTTCAATTGTGGAAGATTTCTAGAATATTCCAGGATTGCTTTTAGTGGAGAAACCACTTATAATAGAAAATTAAATAATGAATTGTTTTTACATAACTAGTATTATGAGTCTGAGACAATTACCATACCCGTATGATTAAGCACCCCAATTCCCTACCACTTGCTGATTCTAAGTTTCAGCAATATTAAGTGTTGCTCAAGCTGGCATTTTCACACTATTCTTAAAGGGAAATGCATTATGCACAGTAAGACAGTTAATTTGCTTTTAAATGGAGGCCTTATTAAAGATTTGGTATATTTTTCACTAATAAAACATGTTTGAAAAATAGACACAGAATAAGATGATCCCAATTGCAATAGGAGGAAAGTTGTGAAAATCCCCTGTAACTTTGGGTATTCAGAAATTGTCAAAGCTGTTTCATTTCAGAGTATTTGTAATAGGCCAGATGCGGTGGCTCACACCTCTAATCCCAGAACTTTGGGAGGCCAAGGCAGGCAGATTACTTGAGGTCAGGAGTTTGAGACCAGCCTGGCCAACATGGCGAAACCCTGTCTCTACTAAAAAACAAAAAATTGGCTGGACGTAGTGATGAGCACCTGTAGTCCCAGTTACTCAGGAGACTGAGGCAGGAGAATTGCTTGAACCTGGGAGGCGGAGGTTGCAGTGAGCAGAGATCATGCCACTACACTCTAGCCTGAGCAACAGAGTGAGACTCCATCTAAAAAAAAAAAAAAAAAAAAATCAAAGTATTTGTAATATACTGGGAAGTAGCCTAGTCAGCATGACAGATAAACCAAGGTCCCAGCCGGGCACAGTGGCTCACGCCTGTAATCTGTAATCCCAGCACTTTGGGAGGCTGAGGCAGGCGAATCACGAGGTTGGGAGTTCAAGACCAGTCTGGCCAACATAGTGAAATCCTGTCTCTATTAAAAATACAAAAAATTAGCCGGATGTGGTTGCGGGTTCCTATAATCCCAGCTGTTCGGGAGGCTGAGGTAGAAGAATCGCTTGAACCTAGGAGGCAGAGGTTGCAGTGGCCGAGATGGTGCCATTGCACTGCAGCCCAGGCGACAGTGTGAGACTCCATCTCAAAAAAACAAACAACAGCAACAGCCAAGGTCCTGCTAATACAGAATTATAATCCTATAACAGCACTGGTCGCTCAGTTAATCCAACACAATGGAACCTTAAAAATATGGAAGCTTGCAGAAACTTTTGAATCAAATATCTTCTCAAAATGTGTTCCTTAAATTCAAAAATACTAGTAAGAATTATGTGTGGGCAGGGAGAACCAAAAGAAGGGAGGGGTTGGTTCATGGCCAAATATTAGTAAATTTAGGCAACTCTGGGTTAAGAAGGTTTAAAATGCTAATGTTGTGTTACATTGTGGATTTTCAAGGCAGAGTTCAATATACTGTTTCTCCCAAATGTATTAACTAGGAAACCACAGTATGTGCAGCACTGTATACATTTCATGAAACTGGTGTTCCATGGAACACACTCTGAAAAATATTCGACTGTGTCCATCCAGTAGTTCCACCCTGAAGTTCCTGGCTGTAGTATAAATCTGCAGGTTATTTCATGCCTTGAAAGATAATCTAGTTGAAATATATTATTTACCCACAATAATACTTTGCAGGCTAACTTTAATGACAAGTTTCGTTTCGTTTCTTTTGTCCATAATTTTGTCATGGAAGTAGCATTGGTTGTTTTCTACTCTTAGATACTCTGAAAACTTGATGACACTTTAGGAATTTCAGAGGCACTGGTGGATTAATTACTGTTTTCAGAACCACATCTAAAAGGTCATTATAACTTAACTAAAATTTTTAGCAGTGGAGAAGTTGAAAATATTGTAGGAGTCATAGATTCTCCTAGTACCCAATCACATATTTGTTCAGTTTTTAATTTATTCCACAGATATCTACTGGAAGCTTATTATTGGCCTGGTTTTGTGTTGGTTGGTATTTTTTTGCATTATGAATTTTATTTTTATTTAGTTCATATTACTAGGGTGGTAACTTACTAAGTAATTGCTTAAATGTATAATAGAATCCAGGCAAGCTTAGAAAATTTAATGCTGCTTGTATCACTGAAGTTTCCTTGGGCAGAAAAAGTTTTAAAACCCCTGATTTTTTTTTAAACCCTCTTGATTTTTTTTAAGTACACTGAGACATCATGAAATTAAAATGCTGATAGTTTATACCTAGATTATATGGAACCTGGAAATGAATCCCAGATATTCTTATTCTGCTAATCTTTCCCTCTCACCTGGCTGTTGTTACCATGTGTCGTAAGTGAAATAAATAGAAGAAGAACCCCAAATTGGGAAAAAGGGAAAAAAATACGGAAGGCAATCTCTTGAAGACTTAGAATTTCAGGTTTCTTATGTATTATTCCTACTTGTTGGCAATTTAAATTTAGCCAGGTGCAGTGGCTCACACCTGTAATCCCAGCACTTTGGGAAGCTGATACAGGAGGACTGCCTGAGCCCAGGGGTTCAAGACCAGCCTGGGCAACATGGCAAGTCCCTGTTTCTAAAAAACAATTTTTAATAATAATAAAAATAATAACTACAGTTTTGGATTTCTGTTCAGAATCCAAAACAGTTTGAGAGTTGAAGAGTTTCAAATGCTGGTAATCTGGGAGTTTTTTTGTTTGTTTTTGTTTTTGAGATAGAAAGTCGCTCTGTCACCCAGGCTGGAGTGCAGTGAAGTGATCTCGGCTCACTGCAGCCTCCGCCTCCTAGGTTCAAGCAGTTCTTCTGCCTCAGCCTCCCGAGTAGCTGAGACTACAGGCACGCACCACTACGCCTGGCTAATTTTTGTATTTTTAGTAGAGAAGGAATTTCACCATGTTGGTCAGGTTGGTCTTGAACTCCTGACATCAAGTGATCCGCCTGCCTCAGTCTCCCAAAGTGTTGGGATTACAGGCATGAGCCACTGTGCCTGGCCCAAATGCTGGTTAACTGGTAGTAGAACATCTTCAAGTCTCTGTCAGATTATCAGGTTAAAGTTTGGCTCACATAGTCTCAGAGATCCTTGAAACCAACCTCAAGGAAAAAGGAGGGTGTTTTGTCTAAATCGTTACAATAGTGATATAGGGTAACCTTTATTTCCCTGGAATATACATGGAAATAGTTCTGTAACTGATCTCCTGAAAACTGAAAATCATTTATCACTGTAACTGAGGCCTTGCTCTCATCTAAGTCTTCAGTAACTCAACCTTTATTAACATGCGGTAGATCAAAATAATGATAATAATCCTTCTGTTTTTTCTTCATGTTGCCCTATCTAACATAGTCTTAGAATTTTAATGATCTGCAGCAGTTTATGGCCCAGTAGTTGTGGAAGGAAGAAGTATGCATCTGCCTCATTCATTATTATCTCTATTAGCCTGGAAAGGACTTTGCCATCTGTTTTATCTCCCTCATTTCACAGATGAGGAAATGAAGTCCAAAGGTCTCATCCCAAATTAGTGACAGGGCCAAGACTTGATAAGCCAGCTCTGATGCTCTTTCCTGGTTACTAATCTTTTTCTAGCAATTCTCATGGAAATATTAGAGATGAGCTAGATCTTTAGTATAGAAACATTTAAAAGCAGTATTAGCAGGGATAAAATATGACATTTAATTTCCTATTCTATATTCTTCCTATGATGTCATCTCAGAAAGATGGTTTGTGCAAACTTAAGATTGTTAAGAACTGGAATTAAACCTGCTTCGTATATGTTTAAGCATTAGAAAAGTTATTTTGAGCCTTTTCAATTACTTGAGTCGCGGATTAAACTTGCTTGCTTTATGAGAAATTCACTGCCTACTTCTGGTTCTAATTTGAGGGTTTCAAGTTTAATTTTTCCTTCTTTCAAACCTTTAGAAGGAGGAGGTACCATGTGCTGACTTTCATATGCTGTTTTTGCTTTAGCTATGTCATTGTGAATTTATAAATATTCTACCTGTCATGTGTTAAATTTTTTGGTTCTAACTTTTCCTCTGCCTTGTTTTCTAGATTCACGGCCCTTCCACAGTACCTTCCACAATACCAGTGCTAATCAGACTGAGAGGTACTATAAACTTGTTACTCCTTTTTCCAGAAATGAAATGAAGAAAATTTAAAATCTCTTAGGCCATTTAATTACATAAACTAAGTTAATTGAGCTCATCGGATTCTTCTTTGAGTGATAAATTTGGAATAATGATTAAGGTGGTTTTATCATGAAGGCTATATCTCTTAAAGTTAATGTCTTCAATCGTTTTCTTTGATTAATTACACTATCCTAGTGATAAAAAATGGTTTGTATTTATTGATGTGAGGGTACACTATTATTTGATTTTATGAACTCATGCACACTTTGCTTATGGGGATTTTTCATTCCTAAATCTAACAGTTTAACAACATTTTGTTTCATATTAGTGTCTCTGTGTGTGTGCAATTTATAATACTCTTAGCTATTTTAAGCTTTAAAGCTGTTTTCTTCTGTATACATGTAAATGGTACACAGCTCTGTCAGAGTAAATGAATTGCTTCTTTTTTTTTCTTTTTCCTTTTTTTGAGACAGAGTTTCGCTCTTGTTGCCCAGGCTGGAATGCAATGGCACGATCTCGGCTCACTGCAACCTCCACCTCCTGGGTTTAAGCGATTCTCCTGCCTCAGCCTCCTGAGTGGCTGAGATGACAGGCATGCGCCACCATGCCTGGCTGATTTTGTATTTTTAGTAGAGACAGGGTTTCTCCATGTTGGTCAGGCAGGTCTCAAACTCCCGACCTCAGGTGATCCATCTGCCTCAGCCTCCCAAAGTACTGAGATTACAGGTATGAGCCACCACGCCCGGCCACGAATTGATTCTTTACTTGACAGCAAGCAGAAGATTTCTGTTCTGACTCATTTAATTTCAGTTTTCATGCTTATGAGATGGAATATTCTACTTGAAGCATAATTCGGGTTCCTATAGCTGCCCTGCAGTTTTTTCTGAGTTGCCTTTTCACAGAGGCATCAGTTATGATTCTGATTCAGAACGCTTGCAATGAATGCTTTTCTTTGCACTGCTTTTACAGCTTATTTGTTCTTTCTCCTTTCTAGAGCAGTGGCTTTCATACCATTTCCCCATTATCTTAAAAACAGACTGCTTTGTTTTTTAAACAACACATATGTAAATAAACTTTGACTGTTGACAGGACCCCTTATGGTGCTGCTTCTGCCTGCCACCTGCCCTCTCACAGAGGCCCTAGAGGCAATCACTGCTGTTCTGTGGGAACCGTCTAAAATAACTATTTTAGGACACCTAAGCAAAGTGTAGTATAAATGGATGCCTTTTCTATGTAACGGATTGTTTATTCGAATGCCCAGCTTTTTTTTTTTTTTTTTTTTGAGACAGAGTCTCACTGTGCCGCCCAGGGTGGAGGGCAGTGGCACAGTCTCAGTTCACTGCAACCTCCATCTCCTGTGTTCGCGCATGCCACCACACCCAGCTAATTTTTGTATTTTTTAGTAGGGACAGGGTTTCACCATGTTGGTGAGGCTGGTCTCGAACTCCTAACCTCGTAATTCGCCTGCCTCGGCCTCCCAAAGTGCTGGGATTACAGGCATAAGCACCACACCCGGCCCAAATGCCCAGCATTTAAGAAAATCAACCATTGCAAATTTCCTAAGTTAGAACATGTCCATCTTGGATGGACTTAGATTTTATGTAGCCTTCTCAAACAGGTAGATTAGTATATCTGAATCTACATAAAACTCCTAAAATTGATCTTTCAACACTCTGCCTCAATTCTACCTGCTACTCAGTACGTTCCCTCCTAAAATTGAAGCTAGCTGCATGGACCAGTCCACAGTCCTGATTGTCCAGCGTCCCAAAGGCTAGAAAAGAGTTGTGATCTGTACCGTTAAGGAACTTGGATATGTGGTCAGTCATAAGACTCCTTGGTTGGCAACTCCTATTAGCAAGTACCCTGTCATTCTGCTACATATATGGGTTTCCTTTCAAGCGCCCATTTGTTGCAAAGGAGTTTGTAGATTGAGTGCTATTGTAGATGAATAGATTTCCATACAAAATAATTATCTAATAATTGACAGGCTCTTTTTAACATGAAATCACTGAAAACCCATAATTAAAACCTTAAAAATGGGCCAGGCGGTAGCTCATGCCTATAATCCCAGCACTTTGGGAGGTTGAGGTGGAAGGATTGTGTGAAGCCAGGAGTTCAAAATCAGCCTGGGCAATATAGCAAGACCCCATCTCTACAAAAAAATTAGAAAAATAGCCAGGCGTGGTGGCATGTGCCTTCAGTCTCAGCTTACTCTAGAGGCTGAGGCAGGAAGATCATATGAGCTCAGGAGTTCGAGGCTGCAATGAGCTATCATCACACCACTCAGAGCAAGACTCTGTCTCCAAAACAAACAGGTGAGCAAAAAAACATTAGTGATGGATCTAAGGAAACTTAGCCAAGTTTTGATAACAGAACCTGGGTGTTGTGGCATACTGTGTTCTATAAAAAGCCATTCAGCAACCTTCATCTACCTTTTATTCTGCTTCACATTTATTTATCTTCTGTAGTCCTTTAAAAAAGTCAATCTTCTTGTTTTATTTAGTATAACAGAAGAGAACTATAATTTCCCGCCACAAAGCCTCTTCAAGAAAGATTCTGAATGGAAGAGTGCAACAAAAGTCAGTCGTACATTCAGCTACATCAAGAATAAAATGTCCAGCAGCAAGAAGAGCAAAGTAAGTATCACTGTGGGCATTGCTTGTGATCACCGTAGTCGGTCCTCAGTAGGATTCTGTCACAGCCTTTATCCACGCCAAAACTGGTTAAATCATGGGGACATAAATGAAAATAAATTTAGGATTACTCTCTGAAATCGCCTAATATGTAAAGGAAAATAATAAGAAAAATAACAAGAAGTGGAACTACCAGTTACTGAATTTTCACTATATGCTAAGTGCTTTCCATATATTATTTAACCCTTTCAACAGCCCTATCAGATAGGTATTATCTCTCTTTTCTAAAAGTGATGTACCTTACCAAGGATGCTCCTCTAATGTGAAGAAGTAGTTCAAACCAGATCTCTTTGGTTTCAAATCCCATCCTCTTAAACCACAGTGCTTAAATCTGTAATATCAGTTTAAATGCAAAAGAAGGATTTTATGCCAAGATCAAAGGATTGAAAATATTTACGTTTGGGTTTAGAGGGAAGGATTATCCTACGGAAGATTACAAGAACTTTTAAGATTAATATCATTTCTTAGATCTATTTCTAATTAGGAGCATTTAGAACATATTCTCTTGGTGCTTAAGAGATTAAATAAATATTTAAACCAAGTGTGAGAGAGAGAGAGAGAGAGAGAGAGTGTGTGTGTGTGTGTGTGTGTGTGTGTGTGTGTGTATGTGTAGAGGGCTCCACTCTATCACCCAGGCTGGAGCACAGTGGTGTTCATGGCTCACTGCAGTCTTGAACTGCCAGGCTCAAGCAATCTCCTGCCTTGCACCTTAGCCTCCCAAGTAGCCAGGACTACAGTCATTCGCCATCATGCTGAGCTATGTTTAAATTTTTTTGTAGAGATGAAATCTTGCTATTTTGTCCAGGCCGGTCTAACTCCTTACCTCAGGCATTCCTCCTGCTGCAGCCTCCCAAAGCACTGGGTGTGATCCACCATGCCCAGCCTAAAGTAACATTTTTTATCTAGTTATTTTTTACATGCTCATTAGGGGAATCTTCAAAATCTAAAAGTAAAAGGATGAAAATCTCCTGTAATAACCCCACTTAGCGATAACTATGCTTAATGTTTTGGTTTATGTATTTCTAATGTTTTTTAAAAATGTATTTTCAAAAGAAAGGGAGAAAAGAAGTTCACTTTCTTATACTGATTCCCAGTGCTAAACCAAAACTCATTCTATTTCAAGTCTGTGGGGAAAATCTTTTCGCCTCTCATACCCTATTTGTCTACCCACGACACCCTCTAACAAAATAAAGACATAAATAAATAAAAATTTGAAATCAGTTAAGGAACTCTTGCAAGCAATCACTGTGTATGTATGCGCGTGCGTGTGTGTGTGTGTGTGTGTGTGTAGTATATACATGCATATACGATATATACACACATGTACATACATGCATACTTAGAAGTAAGGGAATAAATAAACATTGAATTCAATAATACTGTCATAAAAGGGCATCGCCTCCTCCCCCACAAAACAAGGTGCACTAAGCTGCTCAAACCCTCAATTCAGTGGGCTGATGGACATATAGCCAAAGTATTTTACCATGTTTTGTAAGATCTCTTGGTTTAGCAAATACATTCAGAGAAATTTTTCCACGAAACCTGCCACAAGAATTGTTTTCTCTTCATTTCTCCTGTCCAAGTACAGAATGGAGAGAAAGTAGGCAATCAGGGAGGGATACAAAGAGTCTAGCAAATTATTTCTAGCATAATCACACATTTAAGTATTAACTTCGGACTCAGCCTTGTTTTATAATTAAAAAAAAAAAAATGAAGGTCAAAGAGGGTAGAATGCTTTACCAGTATTCTACATATTTACACATTGGCAGCCAGGCTTAAAATAGAGCCTTACCTATTTTACTTACCACTGCTGGCTTGGATAATAGTTGGTATCAACAAAAGAAAATCCCCTTGGATAGATCAATATAAATTAGCCAAATATTATTAAATGACTTGTATAGTCTTAGCATTCCTCTAAGTGTTAACAGGCACCTAAGAGAACTAAAGCTCATAGTCATGACCTTGAAAAACTTTATGGTATAGTTTGGATACATTCAAAAATTTTTTGTTGTTTTTTATTTTGCTTTTGAACTGCCGAATCTTGTCTTCAAACAAGCTTTTCATGGAAGACCAATAAATAAGTGGAGATTCCCCCTTTCTAGCCATCTCCCCAATGTCATGGAGTTTTAGAACAGAGCAGTGAATATACCACTGATCTCATGGATGAAGTAAAACACACACACAATGGGGAAAAAAACAATGTAAGATGGAATTTAGAAACTGGACCCTGACGTTTAAAAAAGTCTCATCTTGGCCTCCTTGTTTTACAGACTGAGGCACAGAGACATATGCTTCAAGTCACACAACCTCCTGTGATCTGACTTCATCATTGTGTGTTTAAACAAAATGTTACTATACAGTATAATTTTTTTCTTTTAACTTTTTAAATCTGAAAGGACTGGAGTTTGCTAGGAGGGGATGAGCAGAAAGGACAGGAGAAAACATACTTTGTGTTAGACTGAAATCTGTTATCACTGGTAGAAACTGTTTAGTGTCAGTTGATCTCTTGCCTTTGATCATCTCCTTTGTCAAAATGACAGCACTCTTTTGCAATTGAGATTGGTTCCTCTTTCAGACTTGGCTTCAAGATTTGATCTCTTGGGGCCATGCTGTGTTTAGCAGTGGAAACTCAAAAAATTACAAATTCGTAACCCTAGATTATAGTCCATTTCCCATTACCAAGTGTTTAGAGTGTCCTAGTGGCAACTGTAAGTCACCTTTTATAGTGAGTTGTTATTAGCTCACTTTTAAATAAAATTGGAACAGCTTGGCTTTTATCAATGTAGCAAAAGATGATTTTTAAAAAGTGTGAGGCGTGGCACAGTGATACACACGTGTAATCTCAGTACTTTGAGGGTGAGATGAGAAGATCACTTGAGACCAAGAGTTCAAGGTCAGTCTGGGCAGTATAGTGAGATCTCATCTCTACAAAAAACTGTAAAATTAGCTGGGCGTAGTGGTGCACACCTGTGGTGCTACTCAGGAGGCTGAGGCAAGAGGATCAGAGCCCAGGAGTTCAAGGCTGCAGTAAGCTGTGTGCACTCCAGCCTGGACAATGGAGTGAGATCCTGTGTCTTAAAAAAAAAAATAAGAAAGGAAAGAAATAGAGGAAAAGCAGTATGTTTTGTGTTAAATACCCTCACTATGCTATGTATCTGCATAGCATTCTACCATGCAGAAGTAATTTATTTTCTAAATGGTAACATAAAAATTAATGAATATTAAATTTTCTTAGCATAGTGATGCTAACTCTAATCTTGTTCTTAACTATTCAATAATGTTACTTCTCCATAATGTTAACAAATTGAAAGTGCTACTATGGATATTGACACTGATTTTTCTGTGAAAATCACAAATTTTCAGTTTTCCAAAATTATTTTTTAAATAGATGCTATGAGAGACCATCTGATCCAATTGTTTTATTAACCCACCATTCAATAAAACTAGACCTACATCTTTTAAAGGAAAAATTAAAAGCATCTACTGAATATGATATTAAAATGCCACCTGTAACTCAGAAAAGTGTCTAAGGATTATTTGAAAATGTCTGCTTTCCTTTTGCATGATATATATGTATCTTTATGAAAATAGGTTATAGTGATTAACCTAGATATATTCTATTCAGTTGTATAATTGTGATGATACACAGTTCTTAAACATGTCCAAAGAAGCCAAAAGCCAGTAGGCAGTAAACTGTTCACATTCCTAGGAGGGTAACAGTTTGTCTGGAGTACTGGGTTTTGTATATAAACTTAAAAAATTGAGTCCTTGATCCTATGTCCTTTTGAGAATTATCACCGACTGGCATAAGTGATTAAATATATTGTATGTTTTTGTTGAAAACGGGGGTGCTAAACAGGAAGTAGAACAGGAAGACCGGCAGTTTCTGCTTTTGTCTTAGTATCTTTGAGAGATAGTGCTGTTTCCTGCTAAGTAATTTTGCATGTTGCAGAGTATTTAAACACTCATATGCATGATGTTCGAGTTCACAAAGGGAGTAGAATGACCCTCTTTAAACCATCCTATCACACTGGTTTTCTTTTTTCTAAACCACAGTTACTTTTGCACCAACCTAATACTAAGCTTTCTTCTTTGTAGACAAACAAGAGGTGGTTAGAAATGTTTTAGACAAATCTATTTGATTTGAAGTAGGTATTTTTGAGTGCACGGGTTAAATTCCTGCACAGCTGCAAGTATACTACATGACTTTGTAACAGGAAATTCAGTTAAAGCTCCTAGGTCCTGTGGTCTGTATAAAAGAGAGCTGTACCCATTAGCCTTTCAGAAGTGCCTCCTAGAGTAGTGTTTACAAAGACTTAATGTTAAACGTAATTCTCATTCCTTCTTTGATTAAAGATCTGTGACATGACAGTTGTTTGATCATATCATGTTTTCACAGTTGTCCAGAGTGTTCTTTTTATTGTAATTACATGTATAAAGGGATATTTTTGGAAAAGTTAAGAATCACCTTTGATAGTGTCCTAGTGCAGTTGTTACCTGCATCTATCCCTGTTAAATACTGTTAGCCTGTTTCCCCAGCACACAGCTAAAGCATTTTGCCAGTTGTTAAACATGGAAAAGTCAAACTTCAGAAAATAACTAGTCACCACTTTACCGCAGGCAACTTCACTAAAAAGTTTTCTTAGGAAACTCACTGCATTTTATAAAATGAGGAGTCTATTTTAAAATAGATAACATGCGTTCCTTAACTTCCCGTGTAAAAACTTGGCCCAAACCTTGCCAGAGTTCTTATGTTGCAGCTTAAGCACTGTCCACACACACTGTTTTTGGGGGAAATGGGGTTTTGTTTCATTTCCTATATCCTTTGTAACAAGGGTTGTTGGCTTTACCAGCAGCATTCAAACAGTTAAGACTGTCTTAAGGAAACAAGCAGTCTCAGCCCTCCCTCCTTCCCTTTCTTAACCAGTCTCTGGCTTCCTCTTACGGTTTCACTAATGGCAGCTCAAAGCTGCTGAGTTCTACCTTGACGGCATGCACCCCCGCTTCTGTGAGAGCACGTTTCCTGGCATGGGGGTTGAATCATGTCGATAAAATGGGGTCGGTTTCATGAAGTACCCCACATAACAGTGAGATTCATAGGACCAAAGCATGGGGAGGTAAGAGCCTGACTTCTTTAAAGCACTAAATTCTAGTAAACACAGAAAGAGCCAGTGGAGTTGGTTGTTTTGTTTTGTTTCTATCCTGGGAAGAACTAGTTTGGATTGTTGCAAAGGGAAGCTATTTCTTATTTATTCAGGTTTGGGGAACATTGCAAGGCTTGAGAGGATAAACTGGTTGCCATAAAAAGATTTTTTAAATGATTGAAGTATACTTTAACTTTCCTGAGCAAAAAAATCGTGCTTTTCCATTTAACATTTTATGCATGGAAAAACCTTTAGCAAAATTTAGTTAAAAGAAAGAAATTATTTGAAAACCCCCAAATTTAGTTGTTATTATTAAAGTTTTATGTACTTGTGCGGTTACCAATTTTCACTCAGAACAGCTTCCTGTTTTGTAAAGTGGAGGAGTTTTTCTCCCTTCCTCTCTCATTATTTTTTATAATTCAAAAGTGTAGTAATTTGGCTCTTAGATGTTCATTATATGTATTTGATTAGCAAAAGACTTCACATGAATCATAGATGTAGCAATTATTTACCATTTCATTACAGTGGATGGGTTCTGAACAGAAAGTCAGAAGACCTGTGTTCCCATTTTGACTGTGCTGATCATCTGTTGTGTGACCTTTTGCAAGTCAACCAACCTCTCCAGTCCCTGGCAGCATAGTGCAGTGTATGAGAGCTGAGCTTTACAGTCAGCCCGATCTGAATCTTAATTTCAGCTTGAGCAGTTACTGGCGTGTGGCCTCAAATGCGTTATTAAACATCTCTAAGCTTCAGTCTCTTCAGATGTAAAATGGAGATAACACCTAGTACTTAATTCATTGGGTTGCTGTGAGAAAATACATGTGAATTGCCTATTACGGTGCTTAGCACTTAGTAACTGTTCAGATTTTTAGCGGTTATTTATTATCTTTATCCTCTACATAGTAAAATAGGAAGCATAACGCTCACCCTGCCCACTTCAGAGTCATTGAGTCACACGAAATGATGTATGTAGAAGACATTGATTCAAAATGTAAGGCATTTAGTAATTGTCGTGATCACTGACTTGGGACACCCATTTTCCTGGAATTTTTTTAAAGACATAACAATAGTATTGGCAATAGATCAAACCTCCTACCTTGTGAATGGTAGTTTCTTGTAGTCCAATTGGTTTGAAAGGAAATTATCTCATCGATACTAATTAGCCAGCCAAGTACTCTGCCAAACAGTGCTTAAAGGACCTTTTACGGATAGCATGGTTATGTCCCCATGGTCCTGGCCTCCTAAGGTTGGTGTTCACCTGAAATGTCCCTGACTGCTTTAGATATTTAATTAAGGACCCAGCATTCATCAGTCGTTCTGCAGGTTTTCAAGGTTTGAATTCCTTTCCATTCCTCTTCATGACTGTGTAAGCTTTGATAACAACCTCTCTTCGATTGAGGCTTGATGTCATATGAGTCCTCTGCTTTCAGTCTGTCTCTAGAACATTTCTGACATTCCTACATTATTCTTGAGGTGACATGGCCAAGGTATTCTGGCACTTAGAACTCCTGACTCCCAGCCCGTGCCCCCACTGGTCACCCAGTCTGATCTCTCCTTTGCTGGTGTCCCCTGAGCTTTGTACCTGGCCTGGTTATGGCCTGCTCAGTAAGTAGAAGCACCTGGGCAGTGACTGGGCAGACAGGAAGCACAAGGTGAGTATCAGTTTCTGTTGCCACTCTGACAAGTGAGGGAAGACCACAGGAAAGAAATGAACTTCACAAAAGAGGTCAGAGAGCACGGCTTAGGAAGGTTGTCTTTCCAACCTAGGGACACTGCCTGCTTTTCCTGCCTTCCTGCACCCCTAGGTACTTAGGGTAGAGGAGTGAGCTACTAAGCCTTGGGACTTCCTTTCCCTAGTACTCTGTTTTCTTAAAGGAAGTGACCCTGTTGGTAACTAGCTTGAGGAACGACAAAGGTGGCTTTTGAGAAAAATTATTAACAAGGCTCCTTCCTGTCATCTGTGCATTCTCCTATCCTCCGTGCCCTGCACCATTATCCTTTAGCCACCCCCCAGTTTCTTCTATCTTCCCTTCTCACATCAAAACTTCCGTTCCATTACCGCAAGCAATACCTTTCTATGTTGGCTTAGGAGAATAATGAGCTAATGAAACTCATTTCCAGTAAATTATGCATAATTAATAATATTGCTAAGTGTTACTATGTATTCAGTTTGTGCCAGGCACTGTGCAAAATGCTTTAGAAATGTATTATCTCACCTAATTCTCATATGTTTTAAAAAACGTATGAGATGGGTACTTTTGTGATTATTCCCGTTTGACAAATGAGAAAACTGAGGCTCAGAGAAATAATTTACCCAGGGTCACACCATTACCAAGTAGTAGTAGTGGTAGTAGTGGTGGTGTTGGTGTTGGTGGTCATGGTAGTAGTAGTAGTAGTACCTGAATCTGAACCAAGGTCTGGTACCATTATCCGTATTCTTAACCACTGTGTGGTTTTCCAGTCTCCCCCTCTTATCAGTCTCCTCTTGCCAGTTTGAAAATTAGGCCAAAGTTAATATTTATAAACCTTAAAATTCTAATTAGCAGAAACTGAAAATTTATATGTGGGGCATATTTATGTTTCTAACTAGAGTAAAGGAGGAAACTTCATAGGTACTCCCTCACTTAGGGATATGCGATTGATGTGAGAAAGTTAGAGAGGAGCCTCGGCAATTTTTCATGCTGCCCAGGCATCTTTCTCTCCCTCAGGCCAATCCCAGAATTGCTACCACCCTTTCTTCTGCCTTCTGCCTAAAGCTGACCTCTCTTCCTGTGTGGACTGTGCTGTAGCTTGCTGAGGAAGGACTGTGCTGAGGCCTCAGAAGCCCTCCTTGCAGTGCTGGTCCTTGGGCATTGTGTCTATCGGTAGAAGTAACCAATGGATAAGCCACTTCCAGAACTGTTCGGCCTGCCCAGTTTTCATGTGAATTTTCTAATGTAGCTTGCATGCCAACACCTTAATTAAACACACACACACACACTTTGCCCAGAACTTTTTTTTTCACTCTTGTCCAAAATAGTCACCAGCCACTGTTGACCACATGCCATCTGGGTGCCCAGGTAAGGAGAAGGCCCTCCAGTGTTTAATTAACTGTGAATTCTTTTCTTTTCTTCAGCAGGAAAAGGAAAAAGAAAAAGATAAGATTAAGGAGAAGGAGAAAGATTCTAAAGACAAGGAGAAAGATAAGAAGACTATCAACGGGCACACTTTCAGTTCCATTCCTGTTGTGGGTCCTATCAGCTGTAGCCAGTGTATGAAGCCCTTCACCAACAAAGATGCCTATACTTGCGCAAGTAAGAGACGTGCTTCTTCCTCTCATAAGATGGAACTCTCTTGGCTCAGGAAAGCTCATTTCTAGTTTCCTGTCCACCCCACTCCTTATCTGTTCCTCATTTATGTGGAGAAGTAACCCTTTTTATATCTTTCTTCAGACATGATGAAGAAATTCTAGATATATAATATACAGCCTATTTTTTTCTTCAGACAACCCCAATTTCAAATACAAACAGTCAAGAGTCAAGTTAAGATGGTTCAACTTACAGTTTTTTAACTTTACAGTGGTTCAAAAGCAATACACATTCAGTATAAACTGTCTACCCGTACACTCATTTTGTTTTTCACATTTAGTGCAGTAGTCAGTAAATTACATGAGCTAGTCAACACTTTATCATAAAACTGGCTTTGTGCTGGATAATTCTGGCCAACTATAGTCTAAAATAAGTGTTTTGAATGTGTTTAAGATAGACCAGGCTAAGCTATGATGTCCAGAAAGTTAGGTGTATTTAAATGCATTTTTGACTCACAGTATTTTCAACTTACCATGGGTTTATGTGGATGTAGCCTCATTGAAAGGATGAGGAGCATCTGCACTCTGTTCTATGATCTCTAAACCACTCCACATTTTAAAAGTCAGTGTCAGCATCAAAATTACCCATAGCCCCAAACCCTAAAGCTACTCGGTGGTCTTTTGTTAGATCATATGTGCTCATTTTTATTCTATTACTTTGGTGTATGCTTCAACCATTACCTACATTAAGCCATAGTGACTGCCAAGGGAGAGCACTTCCATGCACAGAGACATTCTATGCTGATCTGCTGAAAGCCAAGTCTGCTAACTGAGCATTGTTCCTGGTTTTGATAAGATACTCTCAGGCAGGAGTTGCTTAACTTTTTCTGTACAAAACGAGATAAAAATATCTTAGGTGTCGTGAGCCACATGGTTTCTGTCACAATTCTTGAACTCTGCAATTGCAGTGCAAAAGCAGCCATAGACAATACATAAACCAATGAGTGTGATTCCAATAAAACTTAACTTACAGATACTGAAATTTGAATTTCATAAAATTTTTGTTATGTAATAATTTGATTTTTTTTTTTTTTTGGACGGAATCTCGCTCTGTCACCCAGGCTGGAGTGCAGTGTTGCAATATTGGCTCACCGCAAGCTCCACTTCCCGGGCTCACGCCATTTTCCTGCCTCAGCCTCCCAAGTAGCTGGGACTACAGGCGCCCACCACCACACCCAGCTAATTTTTTTGTATTTTTAGTAGAGACAGGGTTTCACCGTGTTAGCCAGGATGGTCTCGATCTCCTGACCTCGTGATCTGCTCATCTCCGCCTCCCAAAGTGCTGGGATTACAGGCGTGAGCCACCACACCCAGCCAATTTTTTTATTTTTAAAAACTATTTACAATGTAAAAATTATTCTTAGCTCACGGGCTATACAGAAATAGGCTTTAAGCCACATTTAGCCCACAGACCATAATTTGCACATTTTTGCTCTAAGGCAATGCATCTCAAATTTTGTCAGTGTACAGATCAAAAGTAGTATTTGTAGAACATACCAGGGTAAATCAAGGAGGCTGCTTGTGGTCAGAGGTGAGTTCTAGCCAGCCCAGGCCCAGCCCAGTCACCGAGAAGACTGAGGCAATTAACCTGATATTATACCTATAACCAATTCAGACAAAATAGTAACGAATTCAGATGTCAAGAAGCAACTCTCAGACCATGATGTCCTGAAATCTTGTTTTCAGTCATTTATGTTGGATATCCCAAGTAATTTCTTACTAAAAATAGTTACCTTACTCTTTAAGTTACCCAGGCTAGTCTTGACCTCTTGACATCAAGTGATCTTCCTGGCTTAGCCAGCCTCCTGAGTAACTGGTATTTAGGCATGCACCACTGTGCCTGGTAGAAATTTGAAATGTTTAGAAGTGTATTTGGCCCAGGCGTGGTGGCTCACGACTGTAATCGTAGCACTTTGGGAGGCTGAGGCGAGCGGATCACCTGAGGTCAGGAATTCGAAACCAGCCTGGCCAACGTGGCAAAACCCCGTCTCTATTAAAAATACAAAATTAGCTGGGCGTGGTGACACATGCCTGTAACCTCAACTACTCGGGAGGCTGAGGCAGGAGAATCTCTTGAACCTGGGAGGGGGAGGTTGCAATGAGCTGAGATCGTGCCATTGCACTCCAGCCTGGGCAACAGAGTGGGACTCCATCTCAAAAAGCAAAAAAAAAAAACAAAAACACGTGTATTTGGACAGATTGGAACATACTTCTATGATGATTTCCACTCACTTTCTTGCATGGAAGAGGAGTGGAGTTCCAGCTAGCACACAGCCCACAGCCTGTCTAATCTGTGCTACAGCTCCTGTGACTTTTTGAAATGATTGACTTTATGACACACATTCATGTAAAATGATTTTTATGGATGTTATAGCCCCAAAGTAGTCAGCAACACTATTTGTTTTACTGTCCTGTTTTTTCAAAAGTAACAAAAAGCCATGAGAGCTCTCACCCAAATCCTTATGCATCTCTGTGGGCAGAGATCACACACATTAATATAATCCTTCGTTTGTGACTTACCAGACCATTGAGAGCCACTACTACATAGTAGTAATTTCATGTAACCTCTAGGAAACAAGAGACTATCACTGTTCAGTATTCCTCCAGTGATTATTTTGGAACCCAGGTTCTAATAGGACTCTTTTCAGGGACACCAGTTGAAGGTCTGTAGGTTAGTTTTTTCGCCACTGGACACAGCCTCTTAGTACTGGAATAACCTGGTTGCCTAGAGCAGTAGTCACCAAGCACTTTCTAGCATGTTCACCTATTATTAAAACATTTTTAGCATACTTACATAGGATACATACATAACATAAAAAATACATACAAGTCCTACTATGCCATACTTTCAAAGAGCTCATTCTAAAAATAAGAGATGTCTCAGAGTTGCAATTTTCTTGTTTTCTGGTTAGTTATTAGGATGATTATTATTGTCTTTGATTCATGACTTCTTTGAAGGAATTTGTGTAACTCTCTTCATTTTCATTTGATTTTAGTTGAAACCAGGTAATATAATCCATAAGCCCACTTTATTGGGCACCTGTATGTTTCCATTAATCACAGTATGCTGAAAGTAAACAAATGCGGATTATGCAAGCCCAGCCCACCTGCTGAGTGAAGAACACCCCACGCCCTTGAGAAACCTCTAGTGTCACATATAAAGTGAAGCTGCCTAACGTAAAGACTGAGTGAGGCACCTGCGTATCAGTTAGACGTTAACTCAATATTTCTTCTACCTTAAGAAGTCAACTTAAATAAGAGCTGTAAAATCTTCCTCCTGTGTTCCAAGGGATTTTTTTTTTCATCACTCCTTGCAATGTGCCAGTTCTTTTGGGGAGCACTGATCTCAGAAAAACGGGAAGAGGCTGTGTTTCTTGACTGGCAGTGTGAAACTAATATTCAGGGAACTTCATCAGTAAAGCAGACTAGATACCTGCCTTCTGCTATAAAATATAAAATGCTAGATAAAAATATATTTTTAAAATATTAATACATAGCTGAACCTGCCAAATAGAAAATCCCTGAGGGAACTCAGAGCAGTAAAGAGCATGACCCCTCATTTGGGGGTCAAGATATATGACCTCAGGGTATGTAGTGGGAGCCAGAACTGAGACCCCTGTATAAGAAATACTGTTTTAAGACTAACATCCATGATGAAGGGCTTTGAAAAATTCTACCCGCTGGCCTTCAGAAGCAGAAAGGAACCTTGCAGTCTCCCCAGGACCTGAGTGAGAATTGATGAATCTGGAGTCCAAGTTTACACTGTCTGTATGTGCTGGAACTTCAGGCTAAGAAACTCACAAGAGGTTTCATGAAATTCCAGTTTAGGAATGACAGATTCTTGAGGGACCCAGCTTGTAGCAGATGTAGAACTGCTCCATTGGGTTAGGTTGACAAAACAGGATACCCAAGACTACCACAAGAAGAAAAAATTCTGTTAAGCTGAGCTTACAATAAAAGATACATAGATGCCACATAAGGAAGTAAACCACCGTGAGGAAGAATTAGGAGATATACAAGCAAGAGATGTTGAAAATCACTAAAAGGGGCCAGGTGAGGTGGCTCACGCCTGTAATCCCAGCACTTTGGGAGGCTGAGGCGGGCGGATCATGAGGTCAGGAGTTCAAGACTAGCCTGACCAACATGGTGAAACCCTGTCTCTACTAAAAATACAAAAATTAGCCAGGCATGATGATGTGCGCCTGTAATCCCAGCTATTCAGGAGGCTGAGGCAGGAGAATCTCTTGAACCCAGGAGGTGGAGGTTGCAGTGAGGCTGAGATCGCGCCACTGCATACCAGTCTAGGCAACAGAGTGAGACTCCGTCTCCAAAAAAAAAAAAAAAAACGATAATTACTAAAAGGATGAAACAAATGGACTCTATAATGGAAAAAAAAGATATAACAACTAATGGGTAGATTTAAAAACAGCTGAGTAAAACTTCAAGCATGCAAATAGTCACTGAAAGGTATTCATGGATTTTTTTCAAATATTTCAGCATGTTGTCCTGATTTATAATTGTTTATAAAGGAAGAAAATGGCTTCTACTCTGTTGTCTGCATTAGTAAGGGGAGAGCTTCAGTCTAGAAAATCTTAATGACTTCACACTGGATTTATTTTTTACATTTAATTATCAATAATTATACCCTAAAGTCCTTGAACTTATATGAAGTCAATCAACAAAGTTCATTTGGCTGAATTCTGCAAGCTACTGTGTTTGATATGTGATTCATTCAAAAGCAGTTTGTCAACAAATATTTATTGAATATCAATATAAGCCAGGCACCCACAGTGGCTTAAAAAAAAGGAATTCTAAAGTACGATCCTTGGTACTTATTTATTGTAACATTGTTTATATTCTGGAAAAATTGAAAGCAATTTAAATATCCATCAATAAAATATATTTTGTGTAGTATATAGATGGATAGGCTGATACTAAATAGAGAAT